TTTGAAATAATCTACGAAATCTTTGTTGCTTTAAATAACTAGCTTTGCGTACTTTTGAGGATTATTAATAATGTGCATAGACCCTCTTTACGCATATTAAATATCATTACACGATTCTTCCTATGTATTCAGTCTTTTTACACATTTCTTTTTTCGTTTCTCTTATCCATTTATTTGCCACCCATTTATTTCCAACAAGAACATGACAGGCGGAATGTTTTGTTTCTGTTGTCTAAGAACCTGATTTATCCAAATGTGCCAAAACAGGCGCTTCCTTTGACTGGGGGGAACAGCAAGGCCGGGATGTAGGAATATAGTAGACCCTCCTTGCTCTACATCCGATAAATAAAGCATAAAAGTACCTATACGATTTGAAAAAGTGTATTCCCTTCCGTTTCATTTTTTCTTGTGCCAGTCAAAGTGCGGAAACATAATGCCCACCGATTCCATAGGTTGCCACTTGGAGCATTTCTGAGGGTGACATATCTAGACCGGTTAAATGCCCCTATACGATCGGAAATTTTTTTCAATGTGTCGCCACCGTCCGAAAGCCAACAATTATGTGCAATTCTGGAAGACCCAATTTTTGTTACTTGTGTTTTATCTAAAACCGTTTTAGCGCTGGCCAAAAATGATCCATGCAAAAACTTTTCAGTTCTTCGATTTCATAATCGGATACAACGTCATAAAAACGAGCGAATTTGGGGTTGTCGGTTAGAACTTCCATTTTTGTAGGGCTGCAAAATTAGCCATGGATCTCGAAAATTGTCCCACAAGTAGCATTTGTATTGGTTTATATCAATTGGCAAGATTGGTTTACCATCTCGGCATAATTTCTTGCATTTCAATAAGCTTCTTCGTGTTTTATACCATCTCTAACAAGCTTCTCGCTATGTTTACATGGAGATCCTGCTAATATACGTTCCAATGTTTCGTTGTACCATTCAAGACATAGGTCAATAACTTTTTTGCCGGTCGCAATGTCACCCATATCCGCACAATCATTAGCTGTCATGTTATACTTGACGGGAAAGCCATTGATATTACCCTGGGCCAGGTCTTTTGTTTTCAATTTGTACAGTCGTTGAACCAAAAACAAATTTTCCAGCACGGCGTACCTGTCTGTAAAATTGGGGGAAAATGTTTAATTTTTCTTTCAAATCAGAAAATATTTCCTTATTTTTAAAGTCTTGAACGTCCCTCAATGAAGTTGTTCCATTAAATTTTCTCTCCGGGGAATCATCGTCTAACATCGGAATAATTATTTCAGCTCACGTTGTCGCCTCTGTTTTAGATTTGATAAAAATTTCCCTTTCGTGAATCTAACATTTTTCCAATTGCCTCCAACATGTCCCAAGTCTTTTTCATCATTTCCTGGAAATTGAAAGGCTGTGCTGTGCCAGCCATATTTGTTTTCAGTCGCCCTGCAGGAAATTATCCCGAGCAAAAAGATCAAAAATGCTCCAATTAGTTTTCTTTTCATGTTCATGTCACTAAACCTGAAACGCTACTGTAAGAGATTGTATAAAGTGTTTATGCTAGTCTCAGCAACGCAAAGATTATACCAATGTCGCGCTATTTTAAATAGCAACGAAACCGTTTGAATATCGACCGGTCGTGTTTTGTTTTGTGTTTGTTGTATCGGGTAACCGAGACTTGCCTTTTATTCTATTGTTATGATTTGTAATCTTTAGCATTGTATTCCTAAAATCTATGTAAAGTAAATAACGAAAAAATGAGTTATACTTCCAGTTAATTCCGAGCACGATGGGAGTCCACACGAATGCTGACTATGTATGTAGCACAAATAGATTGAGTTAATGTATTATCTCCCACATTGGCCTTTCTTAGTCCAGCGCGGTTTGCTACATTTCAAACTTTTTGTTGATGAATAAATTTCTGTGTTTTGAATAGCGTGAAAATATTGTTTAAATTGAATCATAAACCGTTAAGTTTTGAAATTGCTGTCGCTTGATATTTTACTAATTGACGGTTAAAGACCGAATCATACCAGTGCATACACGTGCACGAATAACATGAAACTTGCATACCTTATATACTTATATACCTTATATAAGCTGATACATCAATCTCTACGTGTTGAATTCTAATCAACTGAAAGTCTTCTGAGATGGAATGTCAAGCAATTGTGTTGGGCTGAATAACAAAGATTTTACCATAGCAATGCCATACTCACAATGAAATGAACCAAATTTTGATAAGACGGAAAAAGTAGGCCTACATTGTTGTAAGAGCAATGTATGTTCCGTTTTGTATTTCTCGAGGTATATATGTAACATAAGAATAACGCATCCAATCCACAACTGCATCCGTGAGGTTAAGACAGAATCAGATCGGTTGGTCGATTGACCTTACACCATTACTTCAAATTATGCCAATCAATCTATTAAGCGTGTTTCCAAAATTATTATCATTCTTTTTTTATTGTTGTTGGTTTAACGAAAAGCTCAAAGGCAAACGAGTAAGAAAAGTTCATCGTTATTTTAATCTTACCCAGGCGTGAAACGAAAAGTCAAATTAGTAAGCATATCGATCGTTACAGAAATTAACATCACAAGCTCACTCAACTTGATATAACATATTATATTTCTTAAAATGCAGTTTATTATGATATTAAGACTAATCAAATGGAATTCAGGTTAATCAGTAATCAATTGTTGATCAATCTGTTTTATTGCATATAATGCAAAATCAAATACACGTGGTAGAAATTAATATTCGTTTGAAGAAAATCAAGCGTACTAGCGAACACAATGCTCTCTATGTACAGCAGATCACGATTATTTCCGTTAGATTATTATGATAGGAAAGGTAGGTAGGTGGTCACGCTCTGATTAGTTTATTGTTGGATATTTACCCAAACGCTTGGAACCTTGCGCTTTCGAGGACCTGCTCAGTATCTGCTACGTATTCTCTCGAAACAAGTTAGCATAATACCATGCCGCAATATGACAATAATAAAATTCAAATAAAATCCATTAGTCAATAACATTAGAGAATTAAATCACTACGGGTAGCATAAGTATGTCATGGCTTTATGAAACACGAAAACCAAAATTTTAATACAATAAAAATAATTTGTTTTACCTTATTATACACGAGGTGTTGCACTGTTGGTAATGTCATCACCAACTCTTGACCCATGCTTTTCTGATAATAAAAGAGTCACTAATTAATAAATCAAGACAAATGGTACGCACACCAACGTATTTAGGTAATTCAGTCAAAAGTCCAGAGGAAGAGATACAGGAAACTGGGCAGCCCACATCCGTTAACTGTTAAAAATATAATATATTCAAAAAGGGCAATTTAGTAGTATTGTAATAAGCAATGATAGGAGCATGACCTGAATGCGTTATGTTGTTAACATTTAAGATATTTCACGTTGCTAATGTTATATTGTTTAACAAATTCTTTCATTTTCACATGAAACCACATTATCATATCCCATGTCTCAGGTATAAAATTGTGCAATATATATGTCCATCAAATCAGGCATGCAAATATAATATTGCAATATTTATTTCGGCTTGGAGCGTGTACATTTGGAAGCGTTTTAACGAATATTAAAATCAGATTTTTGTGATTTTAGCTTGAAACATGCGTACATTCAAGAATCCACATAGACATAGGGTCTTAGAGGTATATGGGTACAGATTGGAGGGGTTACACTTTTTCTTCAATTCGTATTAAATGATACATGGTGTAAATTAACGTTCGACTTGGCGTATTCAGAGCTGAAGTCCATTTTGCCATAATATTATATTAACGTGTTAAGAAAGATGGCCACTTAGTTCAGGAGTCCTAAAATTTTATTTTCATAACCATGGTTACCCTGTTACAACAACCATGTTAAGGTTGAATGTGCGAGAAGGAAGTATGAAGGGTTCATGCTCTGGTTAGTACGTGCAGTAAACAATGTAGGTCATACCATTGCCGGAAAATGAATTGCCATTCTCCTCGTCATAAAATACGAAATATATATATTATGAAATATTGATCGATCAAATTTTTTATATACTAATTTGATAAGCACATTTGAAACTGTCATCTTTTTATCCACAATAAATGATCTGTATTATTATAACACTACGGTACACGAGACAGACCTGTGATCTTTTAACTCGAGTGTTGTATTTTTTCTGTTTTCGGCGTGAAAATTTGATTCCCTCAACTAATATACCAATCGTCTTTTCATTTTTTTTAAAGTGGGATAATTGTAAATTGTACTTTAAAATAGGAAAGGTCGCCATAATGATAATACCATATCTTCAAATTTTGCTATGGGGCTCAATATTCCACTCCAAACTTTCCTGGTTCTTGTAGTTCACTGACCCACGTTCATGTGGCTTTTCCTTTGGGAGGATTTATTTTTTGGAATTGCAGTTAGCCATATGACGTTCGGTGGAGTTGTGCTCTCTTGTTAACATCACAACATGTCTGTTAAAATATTGCACACGAAGTGTACCTATAGATCGTTTTGTTGCTGTTGTTGTTAGTATTCCTCGTGTCGTTGTGAAAAAATCTCTCTTATCTTTAACAACTAGACCAAATGCTTTCAAATTTTTAATGGTGAAAGATTGTTGTTGTCGATAGAAGGCTATTAAATTAAATTTATTTCTTGTTAAAGAGTCAAATGTCGAATATTTCTTAACAATAAGCTGTATGAATTTAAATTTAATATAACTAAATCTTACTTGAGCTCCTGTTATTTCCATATTCGAAAATTTCAAAAAATTATTTTATGATACGTTCATACTCTATTAATTGTTAATTTTTTTGTGTTTTTTAAAGCAATTTCACCCCCAAATGCTCTTTATTAATTCCCTTTTTTAATTTCAAGACCTCAAATGATGTTGGAGTCAATATCCACCCACTTCCTTCCCTATCCGATTTATTTGGGGAAGGATTGATGGGCTAAGGATCGTAAAAATAAAAAAAACATGCACAATCTATACAACGACATAGCTCTACGGACAATTACCAGTTTCGGAGGTCTGAAGCAATTCAACACAAGTAAGGATACTGTTGTGAGTCTTTTTTTCATTTTAGTTTGAGTTGTAAATTTCCAACCTACAAGAAATATTTAAATAGATCAATTTCCAACTGTCCAATCTTTTCATACAATTTTTTGAGAAATATAAATCGCCATTGTTTTTGATAGAGTTATATTTTGCTCCCATTTTTAGGTCCCACTCTGACATTGTTCTGCAGAGCGACCGCAATAGCTTGGTCAATTTAGATAAATTTTTAAGATGATGACTTTTTTGTTTTCTATACACTTCTCGAAAAGAAACAAATCGAACGATGAAATTGAAAGCGACCATTTTTGTTATTCTGCTGGCTATGCTGGTGCTTGATCAAGTGGAGTCAGGATGGTTTCGTCGTGGGTGGAGAAAAATCAAACGCGGAACAAAAAAAGTATGGAGAAAGGCAAAACATGTTGCAAAGAAAGTTTGGAAAAAAGCGAAGAAATCGTATGTTAGACTCAATAATTCAATCTTAGTTTTTATGGACTACCAGACAATTACCATCCATGAATGAAATTTATTGCCGAGAAGATTCATTCATCATGTGCATTCCATGCTATTACCAGGTTTTTATTGGCCTGAAAATTATGACAGAATTCATTTTTATATACAAATAGTTCACCACCATACCACCCTAATATTATGTCACTGTCTTTGCTAAAAAAAAGTTTCTCAATCGATCTCAAGTCTAATACTAAAAAAATGTAAACAGGGGTGGCAAATCTTCTTAAATGATTTGTAACAAAAAACAAATATTTGTATCCTGTACAATTATGAAAGTGAGAATTTTTTGCAGATTGACTGGAGCGGCCAAGAAATGGGCGATTGCAAAGCTACAGAGTTTTGCAGGAGATATGAAAAAGCTACAAGAGAAGGTATAAATCATAGGTTACGTTCGTTATATATTGGTTTAATAAATTAGCTTTTTCAGTACTATAAACTAATCTCAATGTAACTTCTTCTTAATTATCAGGATCAAGCATCATACGACGAAATAATGGAAAATCTCCACCAGATGATTGCGGATGAAACCAACATTGAATTTGCAACAGATTTTGCGAAAGAACTTGAGGAGTTTGTGAACATGGATGAAGGCGAGTAAAAACTATTAAAAAATTCCCATTAGTATTGAAATAGTCGAAACTACAAATGAATGCGAATTGCAGTTGTTAAACGTGGGGCAGAACAAACCTCGAAACAAAAAAAGTCCGGGCTTTGATTGGAGAAGTATTAAATTATCTAGTAATTTAGACAAAACAACATTATGTGTAGCATTCTTGAGACCAATGTTATGGCCTTATATTCAATTGTTTTGCATTGAATACCAAAAAGGTGGTAAAAATGTTTTATTGGATATATATCTTTCAACAGACGAACGCTTTTTCAAACTCAAAAATGAGATTTTTAGCAATGACAATCAAAGCGAGTATGAAGAAGACGATGTACTTGTCGAATAGCTGGTTTAAGATGATCAGTGAAGCTCCTCGTCTCGGAAATTTTATGATTTATGCATATTTTTTCACGCGTAAATATATACGGATACAATACGCAAATATATAACATGTTCATGCACTCTACACTGAGATGGTATAAATTATTAAGGGGTCGGGTCATAGGTTGGTAGTGCAGATCTTATATCTAAAATAATTGCCTAGTCACAGCACATAGGTGGCACTGTATTGGTTACATTTGATCGAATGCATTTTAAATAAATGGAATTGTCTAGTAAAAATATAGTTTACGCTCTGATAAGTTCATTGTTGGTTATTTAATCAAACGCTTGACCTGCTCAGTATCTGCTACGTAATCTCAAGGAACAAGTTGGCATAAGACATGCAATAATACAATTCATTAGTCAATAACAGTAGGGAATTAACTCACTAGTGGTAGCATAATTTGTCATGGCCTTATGAAACACAAAAACCAAAATTAAAATACATTTAAAATAATTTGTCTTAGTGTATTATACACGAGGTGTTGCTCTGTTGGTTGTGTCATCACCCTCTTTGACCCATGCTTTCTTGGTAACAAAAGACTGACTGAATAATGATATGAATAATAATAAACCAAGCCTTAGTATAATGTACACAATGTCAACGGAATATCAGGTATTTCGGCAAAGGCCCTATGAATATAATATAGCCAAACAGCCAATTCGGAAGTATTGTAATAGCAATAATGGAGCATGGCCTTAATACGTTTGGTTGAGTTTCTTATCACGTGGTCAAAATTCTATATATTTCACGTTGCTAATGTTGTATCGTACAAATTTTTTTCATTTTCACAAGTGACCACATTTATCAGCCCCATGTATCAGGTATGATGTTAAAAACACTATTGTTACAAAATTGTGCAATATATCCATCAAATCAGGCATACAAATATATATACTATATCCGCAATATTCAATCCACTTAGAGGTATATAGGTAAAGATTGGAAGAGTTGCACTTTTTCTTCGATTCATAATTAATGTTACGGAGTGTGAAATTAACATTCGGCGTATTCAAAGCTGAAGTCCATATTGCTATAATAATATGTTACCGTTTAGCGAGCTGTCACTTAGTTCAGAAATCTTAAATTTTATTTTTATAATCCATGGTTACAGCAATTAATGTGATGGTTGAATATGCGAAAAGTTTCTGCTCTGGTTATGGAAGTGCCAGTAGACATTGTATAATAGAAAATATCAGGACATATCAATATATTGTCCTCTTATAGGTATGTAGGTCATAAACATTGCCATAAAATGAATTGCATGCCTCTCGTCATGAAATACAAAATATATATATTATGAAATATTCATCAATCAATTTTTCATATACTAATTTAATAAGCACATCTGAAACTGTCGTCTTTTTATCGACAAAAAATGAACTGTAGTGTTATAACAATATGTTATACGAAGCAAACCTGTGATCGTTTAACTGAATCGTTGTATGGTCCTTCTTTGGCGAAAAAATTTGATTCCTTCAAATTATATACTAATTGTCTTTTCATTTTTTGAAATAAGTGTAAATTGAACTCAAAGATAAAAAAGGCCGACATAAGGCTATTACCATATCTTAATATTTTGCTATGGGACTCAATATTCCACTTCAAATTTACCTAGTTCCCGTATTTCACGGACACACGTTTGTATGGCTATTCCTTCAATATTTGAAGGAATTTTTCTGGCATCGGGGGTTAGTCATATACGTTCGCTTGTTGGATTTTTTCTCTCGTAGGTAATATTACAATATGTTAATTATATTATTGGACACAAAGTGGATCTATGGATCGTTGTTGTTTGTTTTAGTAAATCTTCTTCGTATTGTGGGTATATGTTGTGGAAACATCGCCTTTCTCTTTAATCACTGGCCCAATTGCTTCGAAAGTTTTCAGTGGGTAAAAATTAGTGTTTTCGCTAGAATGCTTATTATAATAATAGTAAATGTTATTTTTTGTGATTGTAAAATAATTATTGTACAATAATCTGTATAAGAGATTAAATCCGATATAACTAACTCATATTGAGTTTCTGTTATTTCCTCATTCGAGATATCGAGATACTATTTCATGATGCGTTCATACTTAGATAAATATTATTTTTTTCGTGTTTTTCAAAGCAATGTTTGTTTTATGTTTTTGCCAATATCCACCCACTTCCTTCTCTATGAAGTTTGTTTAGGGAAGGCTTAAATGGATCAAGGTTTGTAAAAATCAAAAAAACACGCAAGATCTGTAAAAAGACGTAGCTCTACGTGCAATAACCAATTTCGCAGTTACGTTCTGAAGCATTTCGATACACGTAAGAATACTGATATGCGTCTTATTCTCATTATATAAAGTTTGAGTTGTAAATCTCCATTTTAAGTAATCTCTAAGAAAAATATAACTAGATCAATTTCCAACTGTCCAACCTTTCATACAACTTTCCCTCAACTAATAAGCTTTGTATATACGTAAAGATTGGAAGAGTACACTTTTTCTTCAATTCATATTTAATGTTACGGGGTGTGAAATTAAATTCGGCGTATTCAAATCTGAATCCATTTTGCTATAATATATATTAAGTTCTAAGCGAGCTGGTCACTTAGTTCAGGAATAAAAATTTTATTTTTTTAATCATGGTTACAGCAATTATGTGATGGTTGAAATGAGAAGGAAATGTGAAAAGTTCATGCTCTGGTTAGTGGAAGTGCAGTAGACAATGTATAATGGAAAATATCAGGGCATATCAATATATTGTCCTCTTATACTTATAGGTATGTAGGTCATAACATTGCCATAAATGAATTGTCATGCCTCTCGTCATAAAATACAAAATATATATATTATGAAATATTCATCAACCAAATTTTTCATATATATACTAATTTAATAAGCACATTTGAAACTGTCGTTTTTTATCGACAAAAAATGAACTGTAGTATTAAAACAATATGGTACACGAAGCAGACATGTGATCGTTTACCTGACATGTTGTATGGTTGCTTCTTTTGGCGAGAAAATTTGATTCCTTCAAATAATATACCAATTGTCTTTTCGTTTTTGAAATAAGTGTTAATTAAACTCAAAGATGAAAAGGTCGACATAGGGCTATTACCATATCTTAATATTTTGCTATGTGACTCAATATTCCACTTCAAATTTACCTAGTTCCCGTATTTCACGGACACACATTTATATGGCTTTTCCTTTAACATTTGAATGAATTTTTCTGGCATTGGGGTTAGTCATATGACGTTCGCTTGTTGGATTTTTTCACTCGTGGTAATATTACAACATGTTAATTATATTATTGGACACAAAGTGGACCTATGGATCGTTGGGTTGTTGTTGTTAGTATTCTTCGTATTGTGGGTATTATTGTTGTGGAAAAATCGCCTTTCTCTTTAATCACTGGCACAATTGCTTCGAAATTTTCAGTGGTTAAAAATTAGTATTGTCACTAGAATGCTATTATTATAATAATATTAAATGTTATTTTTTTGTTGAATCTGTAAAATAATTATCGCACAATAATCTGTATAGAATCAAATCTAATATAACTAACTCTGAGTTTATGTTATTTCCGTATTCGAGATTATCGAGATACTATTTCATGATGCGTTCATACTTGGATAAATATTATTTTTTTCGTGTTTTTCAAAGCAATGTTTGTTTTATGTTTTTGCCAATATCCACCCACTTCCTTTCCATATGAAGTTTGTTTAAGGAAGGCTTGAATAGGTCAATGTTTGTAAAAATCAAAAAATCATGCAAGATCTATAAATAGACGTAGCTCTACGTACAATCACCAATTTCGGTCTGAAGCATTTCGATACAAGTAAGAATACTGCTATGCGTCTTATTCTCATTATTTAAAGTTTGAGTTTGTAAATTTCCATTTTAAGTAATCTTCAAGAAAAATATAACTAGATTCAATTTCCATCTGTCCAGCCTTCCATACAACTAACTCTTTTAGAAATATAAACACCATTGTTTTTGATACCGTTAATTTTTGGTGAGCTTTTTGTATTCTATGCACTTCTCGAGAAGAAAGAAATTGAATGATGGTTAGCTCTTGTTTCGTTACCAGTGCAATTTTGTTAAGGAAATTTCAAATCAGCTAAACGGCGTGCGACTTCCCCAACAATAATGTCATCAAGTAATCATGAAAGATTCATGCTTTCTTAATGCTGGCTTGTGTTTTCGAAGTAATTATATATATATATATTTAAAATTATCTCATACTATTCTACAGTTACCATGAAATGAAAGCTTACCATTTGTGTTCTTCTAACTGGTCATGCTGGTGTTTGATCAAGTGGAGTCGGTGATGGTTTCGTCCGTGTTGGAGGAAAATAAAACGTGGAGCTAAAAGTGTATGGAGAAAGGCAAAACGCGTTGCAAAGAAAGTTTGGAAAAAAGTGAAGAAAACCGTATGTTAGACTCAATAATTCTATCGTATTTTTTAGGTGACCACCAGACGATGATCAGCGATGAATCACATTTATTGCCAAGTAGATTCATTCACCGTGTTCATTTCATGATAATTACCAGGCTCCATAGGCGTTGAAAATATGGCACAATTCATTTCTTCATAAAAATAATTCAACACTATGACACCCTAATGGTATGCCAATATCCTTGTTGGAAATTATGTAAACGAGGGCGACAAAGCTTATTAAAAGATTTGTAACAAAAAATTATATATTTGGATCTTGTACAATTATGACAGTGAGAGTTTTTGTAGATTGGCTGGAGCCGCCAAGAAGTGGGCAACTGGGGCGTTACTTGGTCCTTTTGTGGGATATGAAAGAGCTACAGGAGAAGGTATAAATTGCATGTTACTTTCGTTATATATTGATTTTTAAAATTGAGCTACTCCAGTACTATGAACTAATCTCAATTAAACTCGTTCTTAATTATCAGGATCAGGCGTCCTATGACGAGATAATGGAAAATCTCCACCAGATGATCGCAGATGAAACCAACGTTGAATTTGCAACAGATTTCATGAAGGAACTGGATGAGTTTGTGAACATGGATGAAGGCAAGTAAAAACTATTAAAAAAAATTCATTAGTATATAAATAGTCGAACCTACAAATGAATGTAAATTACAGATGTTAAATTTGGGACAGAACACACCTCGAAATAGAAAAATGTTAATATTTAACAGGAGAAGTATTACATTATCTAGTAATTTAGACACAAAACAGCATTATGTGTAGCCTACTTAAGACCCATCCTTTGGTCTTATATTTTTTTCGCGTTCGTATTAAATAACAAAAATTTGGGGGAAAATATCTATTGCAACTAACTCTTTCAACAGACGAACGCCTTTTCAAGCTCAAAAACGAGGTTTTCGTCAATGACAATGAAAACGAGTATGTGGAACAAGATGCACTTTTTGAATAACGGTCTAAGATGATTAGTGAACATGCCTCGTCTCAGAAATTTCATGAATTATGATTTATTCATTTTTTCATATATACGGACACAATATGCAAATATATAGCATGTTTATGCACTGTACTTTGTGAGATGTTATAGGTCAAGGGGTCGGTTTATAGGTTAGTAGTGCAGATCCTATATCTAAAATAATTGCCTAGTCACAGCACATTAATGCCACTGTGTTGGTTACATTTCATCGGATGCATTTTGAATACATGAAATTCTATAGTAACCTTCTGAGGAAAAATTACAACCCTTCTCACCTATCTACAAAGCAGCAATAACACTTTTTAGTGTACCAACACACTCGTAAACACATAAAATTTGCGGTGTGCTAAGTTTAAAACCTTGGAGCCGACTGGGTGAATCTGCGAGTGTGTGACCTAGCTTTGAAGAATCCTATTAAAATGCTAACATGAAATAATATAAAAATTCTCATCAAAATTAAAATGAATTGCTTTGTATTCATACGTTTTTTGTGCTTGAAGTCTCCCATTGTTGTATAGTAAACTGATATAAAGGCAGGAAATACTTACTTGATGTTGCTAGGTCAAACTATCGGGTGATATTTGATAAATCTCTATATATAGAGAAATCGAGACTGAGTGCATCATTTTACTCAACGTGGGTGTAAGAAAACTGTCGTGAAAGAGATTTCTGAGTTGGCAAAGGAACGTGAATTATTTAAAGTATGTCCCTAATAACAATCTTATTATATCTAAATTATCCAATTTATAAGTAAAATTGATAATGTAAATTTATACAATTGAGATAATCTGAACTGTGGACTGGATTATTGTTCTATGGCTAGGCCACAGAGAATCTTTGTGTCAGTTAAGATGAAAAATACTCTTAGTTTTGCGTATACAGAACAGTTGTGAATTTTACTTTACTATATGGATATATATAGGCTATAGCGATGCGATGCTCAACACACACAACCAGACTGTTTACTGTGGCCCGCGCTATAAATGTATTTGCAAAGAGACCTTTTAAAGTTTTAGTATTTTATATTCGTCTTAAGTATCTTTCTTGATTTTTGTGTGATTGTCTCGGCCTTCTACATCCAAATGTCGGTTCTGTTTATTACGTATGTATTAAATCCTGCGCCCCGGTCGACAACCATGTTTTTTAATGAGCACAATAATAAGATTGAATTTGAAACCCAAATTTTCACATTAATTTCGTTCTGATTGCTATATTTCGTGTTGGCTTTGATCATCCTTATCGCCGACGTAAAACAAAAACTGAACAATATATTTTACTACTCGCTCTGGGATTTGTTGTCCTTTTCTGTTCGTATTTTCCCGCCTTGTTTATGGCATTTTAGCGTTACATAAAACATCTAAATAGTTGTGGGTTTAGTACTCACTATTGCGACCCGCAATGAATTTCGTCATGCGAAAGTGGCCCGCGACACTAAAGATGTTGGGCTAGGGCTACAACAGACCTGCCCAACCTTTTCGTCTCGCGGGACACTTTCACATGACAAAATTCGTTGCGGACCGCGAACGTTTGTACCAAATTGTAATGCCAACTAAGTCCTGATTTCGGTATAATTTACATATTAGGTTACATAAAAAGGCAAGTTCATTAACATAAAATAAGTCAATTCAATTATAATTTACTGGTTACTGACTTACTGAGTATATATATATGGCTGGCTAAATATTCTAATATCAAGTCGAACATTAGAATACTGTAGCAGTTTACTATTCGAATATCTGATAACACGGGACATGAACATGACACTCGCGGGCCGCCGAATCGAAGAATCAATCAGTCATTACACAACACACTAGCGGATTTCTAACGACTACACGAGAATCCACACGCAGTTTTCACTACCAAACAAAGACATCAAAATTGAGTGTTACGTTATAGTGTTTTTATTCATTCATTTTCAGTGCTGTCTATGATACTGTCTCAATGTTTAAGTGAGCATAATGTGCGCCAATGTCGCGGGAATATCAAGTTTTAGTGGGCCGTGTCGTAAAATTTGAAACAACAATCATGTAATTAATGAAGTAACATTACATAGTTTTCTGGACGAATATACGAATTCGAATATGTGGCAATGGCATTAAGTCAATTTTATCAGAATTATTGACGGATACGAAGTGACGACATTTCCGAAATATCATTTAACGTAAACATATCATAAACAAAAATACAAACATAAAAGAACAACTAGCCCCGGAGCCAGTACCAAAGATATTGTTGACTTTTTAGTCGAAAAAGCCTAAACGATAGAAAACAATCAGAATGAAATTAATTTGCAAATTTAAGCTCCAAATTTCATTCCTATAATTGCACTCAGCGTTCCTCCCCAATGATTGCACAACATCTTTCGAGTTCGTCGAACAGAACGCACAGTTCTGCGAAAAACGAACGTCGATGTCCACCAGGGCTCAAGACTTGACACACACGTAATAATAAGAACCGGCATTAGGATTGGAAAAGTCCGATGGGCCGCGTGTTGGGCAGCCTTGGGCTACAGCATACGTAAATACCATCAGGTATAAATCAACCATTTCGATTGTTCATACCAAAGTGGTTTATAATGTTACTATAAATTTATATATATCGAACCACTGTGAGGTATATGTAATAATATATCTAAACTTATTTCTAATACGTATTTTAGAAAATCATGAAATTCAAAGCAACGATCCTCATTGTGTTATTTGCGTTGGTCGTAATCGAAAGTACTAATGGCGGCTGGAGAAAAGCCTGGCGAAAAGTTAAAGAAACGTCAAAGAAGGCCTGGAAAAAGACTAAGACTTTGTATGCTACCATTTTCTTAAAACAAATATGTATATTTACTTGGCACCGCGTTTTGTCTAAGGGGTCCAATGACAAAAATTTATTTATGGTAACCGAAAGGACCCATAGAGTTAACCTACCGATAGTCAATAACACATCATTGATTTTTAATTCGAGAAAATGATTCTGAAGTTGCCGTTTTTTTTTTCAAAACTCACACAATACATTTCTTACCTACGCAGCGCCAAAAAAGTTGGAGAAAAAGCTAAGAAAGCCCTAAAATGCACATTTACCAAGAAAGCATTGACAGTGGTAGGAGACATGAAAGCGCTATATGAAAAGGTAATGCATATTACAAAATGTTTAACTTATTTGTTTTGTAATGAATTGTCGAGTTGGTCCCTCTGACGATTTTAACATTTAATACCGTTTTTACAAAATTCTGACAAAAGCCAGGCTCTGTAAATTTCCAATATGCTAAAATGAAAATTTGCACAAAAGTTCATTGTTGCAAATATTTGTTTTCGAAAAAATTTATTCTCGCAAGTTTCCCTTGCCAATTTAGATTCCACCAAATTGTTCGTCCTCATAAATTATTGTGACAAAGAGTCCCCCGTTGAACGACGTTCTGGGGAAAATGTCATCAACATTCCACAATAAACAGGCCGGGTAACGTGCAACTCAATAGATTTCTTGTTCCCGATTTTTTCTCCCTATCTTTGTTCGCACAAGAATTTTGAGTCATATACATAATCATTTTACATGATTATTATTCACTTCTCATATTCCTCTTATAATACGTCGCATGGTAACTTTATTTTCAAGTAATCATTCCGAATTGTGAAACATATCATCTATTTGTATATCTTTTTTTTCTCTTTTCAGGATATCAACGCGTACAACACGTTAATGAAGGACTTCAATATGGTTCTCGCTTCTAGTTTAAATGATGAAATGGCAAAAAAGGTCGCGGATGAGTTGAATGATCTGTTTAATTCAGAGCAAGGTAATTATCAACATGGTTTTGTCGGGAAGTAATCACAAGAGATAATATCAGTGTAATATTGCCGTTACATTATAAGCTTTCGTAACTCGGTATAATAAAAAAATCGCATACCATATATATATATATATATAGTTAAACTACTGGGAAAATCGGAGCAAGCGTCCCTTACTTATTCTCTTCCATATAACAGACGAAATCAATGAAGACGTGGAAGCTGCTCCGTCTAAGGATGAAAAGGCACAACTGCTGATGTCTATTCGACGCGCTCTTGACAGAAATTAAAAGGATGTTCACGATCACGATATCTGCATATTAAATTTTTTTTTACCATATATATATACTCGAGAAAAAATAAATTTACCGCACTAAACAGCATCACTGTTACGCCTATGTATAACCTAACGAAAAAAGGTCCTCTCGCGTGCATGAAAGACGGGATTCAATTTAACAGGTATCTTGAATCACATCTCAAAGCAACGTTTAAACTCACAAATAAAAGATAATTTGAAAAATAGGATAGGATTTACATATTTATCCCGGGGAAGAAGGAAAGCATCGGCTTAATCATATGGCGAACCACGGCCCCTCGTCCGGTTACCAGTGCAGATCGGGTAGGGGATTAGTTAGCCAGTTATTTGTTTTCGGAAGCATGAACTTGATGGTGGAGGAAGCCGTAACCGACCAGCGGTTACGTGAACCACCCTACGGCGGCGAGGAGTCTAGCAATCCTCTCGCACATGATCATCCCCGCATGGGATTCGAACCTGCGATCCCAAGAAGGGTAATCAGAGATGCAGTGGCGAGCGTATTCCTAACGCTTAGCACGATGCGCCACACCGCCCAGCCGAATCAAACCTATTCAATGGGACTAACCATATTAGTACACCACAGATGATGACAGCTTGATCACATGGTGTACCACAGCCCCTCGTCCGGTTACCAGTCCATGTCAGGTATGGGATTAGTTAACCAATTATTTGTTCCAGATGCACGAAGGAAGTCGTAACTGGTATCGGTCCAACAAATATGTGAATCACCCTGCTAACTCAATCTCAAAACAAAAGGAATTTTAATATTATTGGGTTTATTATCAAATTGCATAAATAATATGGAAAATTATTAGCAAGAGACAATTTACTACTACAATTGGTTAAATCAATATAACACAAGAACGAATGTTACAATGGACTAAACACCGAACAAGTAAAAGAAATAGTAATTAATTGCATAACACTGTTAAAAATTACAGTTATATATATACAGCTATATATATATAACTTGCACATCATGTAAATATAAAGATGTTAATAAAACTGAAACACCTTATATTTGAAACATTTGTGAAAAAGGGCCACGTACATTATGAGCGCTTGATTTTAGAAATGGAAATGAAAAGTTAGAAACGATATTACACTGAATTACAGAACAACATTTTTATATGAAAGTAAAATTATAAATACAGCTGAAACCCTACATATCATTAGCTAGCTACAAGTATTTATTTGAGGCCTTGTCGTTAACATGCCTAAAAAAGTTGCTAACAGAAAATTCCAAGTACCATACTCAAATGGCATCTAATGACAAACATATGGTGATATTACAAAACTGATATAGCATAAATTAAACAAATAAAATATATTTCTCCCTGCAAAAATCAGCAAAGGTGATAAATAATTACCACAAGGAAGTCATCTGATTATAAATTTTTCCTGACACCTTGAACTAACTGAAACCTGATGGAACTTATATCTTCGAAGGTGACTTCAACATCATCTCCAAACTTCTTTTTTGCAACCCCAACAACTTCTTTAGCAAGAGTTTCGTGAGTCGTACCCTCTGGTGGAATGTAATGACATTCACTGCTGGCAAAATGACCACTGATAGCCTGTTAAATGCATTAATTGCAGATGCTATATTATTAAATTTCATACTGTAATACCACATTACTTCAGATTTTCCATATTGACAAGCTTTGCTCAAATAACCAAAGCTCGGAAAATATACTTTCCAAGTCTCCACTGCTCTGTATATCAAACCAAGTGCTACAAATATGCACGTCATCACACAACTAATTACCCTGTATTTGGGGGCACAAGTTTTAAACATGGAGTAATGATTATATATGAGAAAGTCCTAAATTCCTTATCGAAGCATGGTGGCTGGCCAGTTACAGCTTCCCCCAATATTGTAGGTCATGCATTTGGAAGAAATTACTGAAAGAGTGATGCAATTGGCTTACTGTTCCAAGCGTTAGGAACAAGCTTTCCATAGCAACTCTGATTATCCTGTGAGGGTTCGCAGGTTCAAGTCCTGTGGGGGATAGTTATGTGCAAGAGGATTGCTGCTGTGAGCGGCAAGCGTAATCGCTGGTCTGTTAGAGCTCTCCACCGTTACGACCATGCATCTGAAAAAATTACTGATTTACTGTTTCCATGCCAATCTCCATATCACTAAGCCGCCATATCCACCTTCCTCTTCGCCTGGATAAATATGAAAATCCTATTCTATTACTATACGCAACCTGGAATGATAACGAAAAAGGAAATGGACAAGAGCACTTGATTTGCTGTCAGATTAAACTATCATAACGAATCCTGATCGAGTCCGACAAGGTTTGGTTAAGTGAGAATTATTTTCAATTCGCTTGTGTTTTTTTCTCTTTTGCAAACTTCAACATGCAGTAATTCACGAATGATTCAAAGCTTACCTTCCTATACCCTTGACTGATGTTGGTTCCTGATCCATGAATTAGAAGAGGATGAAAGAATACAGTGTCACCTTCATCCATTACCAAATGAACGCGAGGAGCATTTTCATCATAATCAACAATTCCATGATACATCTTGTTCACTCCTCCCTAAGATTAATTTCGATAATACATATCCACTAACGCTACTGAAAATATCAACAGCAGTAAGCAACTTCAATACAAACTGATCCTGCACAATTGTTTGACATCGTTGTATCAAATAAGTGACAACATGAAAGGGATTGTGTATTCTTATTTCTCCATACATAAAGATTTTATTCAAAGTTGGTCAGTTTTTTTTTTCTCAATTTAATGAATGCTATGAAATCGGAAAGAAATATGGCAACAATATGTGCATAATTTCTCCTCAAATATTTTTAAGTGACATTATTGTTTTTTTCATTTATCTTATATTATTTTGTGTAGAAATACCACCAATTTACTATTTTATTACACCGTGTTGCAATATTCTACACAATACAATATTATTATTGTTGCAAGTATTAAATTTCAAGAATATTTATACCCAATAAACCAAATTTTGTTCTATATAATTTATATAAATCTCAATGAAAATTAGTAAAATAATATTGAGTATATATCTAACCAAGCAACTTATTCTATAATAAAATCAAAGAAAAATATTTGTTCCACTAGTATTTCAATTTAATTAATTTAATTGTCAACTGTTAAATGTCTGGAATGACAAGAAGTAATGTTATAATTTAACAAACTGTACCTCCCATTTTGGATACTGATGTTCTTTCAATGGACCCTTGTGTGTTCCAGGCAACACAACCAGACAACCATTGGTTCGATCAATTTTTTGCATTGCAGTCCATGATGCTACAATTCTATCTTCAGGTCGGAATATAAAATAATGAAGATCTTGGTGGAGTGGATGACGAGATGTTTTTTTACCTAAACATGGAACAAGTTTAAAGCATAATTGCCATGAGTAATACTAGAATATTGGTTACTAATTTTGTTTGCCCACTTTACAACAAGTTGTATAAAGGGACGGAAGCCTATGGGCAACGGCTATATTCACTTGGCTGACACAAACAGCCCCCGAACTCGCAATAGAACTAAATAAGAAAAATCGGAATAAAATTAACCCTAACCTGGTATACATACTACAGGAGCATCGAATATTGTATTGTATTTCTATAATCAGAGTTTTCACTATGATTGGAATGCTACTTTGCCGACCTCAGTCTGTATGATCCGCAGAGGTCATATTATTTGAATTAAAGTCAAAAACATGGGCAAAATGTAACAATAGGTAATATTTAATGAATGGTATTATTCAATGAACTTGACCTGCAAGCATTGCAGGGTATTAGAAGTATTCGGGGTCACAAGATAATTTTAAATTAAAAGAGTGAGTAACCTAATTTTGCACGTCTTAAAAATAACATATCCTTATTCTGATAAAAATGTACCAGACAATTTATAATAAGTTTGAATAAAACATCAAAAAAAATAAAAATAATCAATTTAATCCTGGATCTACCTAGGTTAACTAAAAGGTTAGCTACAACGAGGGGATTAAATTTACTGACACAAAAGATATAGTTTTTTATAGTAGATGTAATATAAATAGATTTAATATGATCATTGCTACACTTAATAACTGTGCAAATTAGCCACATATGGAGGAAATAATATTCTGATAATTAGAAGAATAAGAAAATATACTGACATAATTCCTATTTACTAAATCATTTTTACGTATTCCGACATATTTTACTACTTTGAACTTATTAAATCAAATATAACTTCTTGTTTCGAAATGGCAGCTTGACATCGAAATTAGAAAAAGTCTGAATCATGCATGACACAATAATTGAACTTTGAACTCCTGAGACAATACAAATTGCAACATGCTATGTTACGTGACACAGACAATGTATAAATAGAAGAGACGACCATGCACAATCAATTAGAAACGTTGAAGAGGTCTCATGTATGTATGGGTCTTGTTTGACACATAGATATACCCTATGTATAAAGTAATTATGTCTGTATTTCAATCTGTTGGTTTGTTTGCTTGTTGTCAACTGTTCTTACCGAGGTCATCAGATCAGGCATAAAAAGATATTAATGATTAATTTTCAACCCAACTCACGCAATGCCTGGATAATATTAATGAGGTTGTGAAACAAAAGAATTTGAATTGCCACAAATCTTTGAACATTTCAAGTTGAAACATAGAAATCAAATCAATAAAATATCTACACGTACCTTGATTTAGTAACATAAAAACGATTTTCATGTAAATACAGTAAATTTAATGATAAGTTCTATACAACATCAGGATTCCACAAGAATCAAAATTAGATACTTCTATGTCTTTTAATATTCATACATCAATATCTTATATGTTGCATTTTCAAAGTGAAAGACTTATACTTTTAAAAAAACTTTGATTATACAAACATCATGCGATTTGGAAAAATACTGAATCTTACTGTCTGCATGGAATTTTCAAATCTAATACGTTAAGCAACGTAAACCCAAATGTATTTAAAACCACAGCACAAAGTATGCATAGCACATTATTACAAAACACAACATATCGATACAGTACAACCAACTTAGCTTATGCCACATTTTAAAGTTTTGATAAAATCGCTTAATTATAATAGTTTACTTGTGACTTCCAAACCTAAAAATGAACATAAAACACTACCTAAAAGCAAAACTAAAACAGGTAGAGCTTTGAAACCCAGACCAAAAGGTGGCCCTGGTCTATAATGACTGGAGATCAAAAAGTCTATTTCTAAAAAATGTGACACAAGGTACTATGGTTTTACTATGGCAATATACCGCTGAAGAGGATAGACCAAAGAAGGAATTTTACGAAACATCTACCTGTATCAGGAGGCTTGTTGATCAACATGGAATGAACAGCCATGATATCTGGTCCAGTTATTGCTTCAACATATTGAAGAATCTTGAAATATAATTTACTTTTAACAAATAGAAAATAAATTAAACCATGGATAAAATATTGACTTGAGATAAAATGTTGACTAGGCTATAGTAAAATGTTCCAATCTACTGCTTCATTTTCGCTGCGTATGTGTTAGTGCCACAGAATTGTCGTTCTTACTTTTGTGCCAAAACCACTACGTTATGTGGTTCAAAAATCACAATGATAAGAAAACTTATGTTCTTAATGGAAGAATTAGAAAAATTTTTGCATTGGTCAGACGAAATGTTACAGAATGATAGTTGTAAAAGAGTGCCGTCAGATATTTGAACTAATCAATGGATCTAGTGATTATCAATTTAATATTTAGACAAATTATATCAAAGTCATATTGCATTAACTTGATGATATAGAAAAATATGCAGCTTTGGAACTCAACATTTATGTGTAAATAAGTAATACTCAATGCAAAAATTACAACGTATAACTAGCTGACCGAATTCAGCACTAGTTTGAATTACATGATAGCAATGAAATGTGAACCTAGGCAATGCGTGAAGTGACTTACTCTTGGTGAATGAAGATAACTAAACATGACAGGATCCATATAATAATCTTGTATCTTTGTTATGGCTTGTTCTCCTGCGACAAACTCACTTTTTGCAATGCTGACATCTCTCATCATTGTCATTCTAGGGATGGTCACCTTACAAATGAAGAAAAAAAATTTAAATGTTTGTTAGAGGCTGTCGTCATTATATAGAGGAAAATTATTATAATTAAATATAGATAACAAATAATTTGAATTAGGTAGCAATATTTGAGAACAAAATTGAGATTTGTATAATTGTTTTATTGGAGTTAGGATACGTCATGACGATTTAGAATCGATTTATATTCAGATGTATTATTCTTGTCTCTCATGGTTTATTATTTAAAATAAATATAGAAATGATATAAATCATAAAACAACACCAACCTGTTTCATACAAATTTCCTCGAATCTTTTCTTATACATTTCGATTTCATATTGAGGAACAAGCTTCTTAATAACGAGATATCCATTGTCTTCAAAAAATTGTTGCTGATCTTTTGTTAGAATTCCATTCCAATTCAAGGTGTAACGATACTTTGAAGCTGATGTTTTTTCCGGAACCTACAGAAAATGGATTAGTTTCTGAAGTTACGGGAGGCTAGTTATGATTTGCAGATTTTAGGATTTAGGTAGTTCAAAAGCTGTTTTGATTCAGGAGTTACAAACTCATTACTGCATTAGGAGATAGATATACTTATACAGTCTTAAGCTTAATATTTATTTTTCACTCGCTCATCTGGTTACTGTATCGTAAAGTCTTAAAATAGATTAACTAGTTATTTTACGCAGTAATGCAGTACAATAATGACTAAAGGTATAATACGTAATACAGTAATATGATAGCTGGATAGTGACCGAGTGAGCTGGAATTCTCATATTTTGCACTGGGGAGTTTTAAAATTTAGTTGACTAACGCTATAACCGCCGTACTAAGTCTGTAAGTTGACTACATCCCAGAAGAATCAGAGAATTGGTTTTCACAAAATTAGTGGCTACTTTGAAAAAAATACTAGAAGGCAGTTCAGAACTCACCAGATTACAACCACGGGTATTCAGATGTCCACCAATAACGTTCAGTCTACCCGCGCTCATATTGAACCGACCTAAACTGCTACAAAGGACCGAAGACTGGAAGAGAGAATATATCAACGAAGATCGTCAACAAGACAAACCCTAGTTGGCTGAACGAATATTTTATATTGACAAGTGTTTACATTTGCACGCATGGTCGCGTATATATATTCCCTCATTTACCAGTCGCCTCGCCACCATAGGAATCTTCTGACGATTGGATTTTCATATTCATCCCGGAGGAGAGGAAAGTCGTTAAGACGCTTATTCATATGGCATGCCACCGCCCCTTGTCTAGTTACGATCAGTCAGTCGTATCGGGTAATGGATTAGTTGGTCATACAAGAAATTGAAGGTGAAACCCACGATCCCTCATTTAAATTTGTGATCACGGTGGTTCTCCTGCATACTTTTTGAAGGTGCAGTAATAAACTTTACTGAGGTGAGATGAACACCACGGTAATCGCTATATCATTTTCAGTTGGAACTCGGCAACACATCCTTAATGACGGCCAATCAAATGTTCAAGAATAAAATTTTATTTTGCATAACATGTTCAGACAAAAGTTTCTACGCAATCTTCATCTCCATCGTTATGATGTTCGACACCGCCCGATGCAAACAAAAGAATTTGCTATATTCACGTATCAATATGAAAAAGTATTCTATATACGAATCCAACAAGATAACAATAAAAACGAGAATATCGGTCGGAGACTGAAGACTTATCGATCGAAACTGCGGTTTCAATTCATGACTTCATAGTGACACCGCGTGTCCCATCACTAATTAATTGATAACTCCCTAATTATACGACATAATTCATCCAAAATCAATAGGCTTCTGGTCCGAGATATGATGAATGCACATGCAAAATTTGGAGCCGATTCAACCCCGCCTTCGTGAGATATCGCGTGCATCTAACAGACAAACAGATAAATATCTATCAACATACTTACCGATCTAAAGACCGAAAAGTGAAAACTCACCAGATTGATCCCTGCCTAATAAAATATCTCGGTTGTGCAAATAGTTAAATTGAATTATCGATACTTTTGAAGTGTGCGTGGTTTCTATGCAATTTATATACGTATTCATGTATATTATTGTCCTCTTATTTGGGCGTCTCTACATCACCGGTCTTTTGACACTCTACCGAACCCGCGCCGATATCATTCTTTAATTTTCCGTTCTCACAAGGCTAAATTTAAGCGCGCTGAAAATGGTAAACTCTCACACCACTTGTGGACAGTTCCATCTTGCTATATTGAATTATACCACGTTTCGCTTTTTCATTTTTCTCTCGCTGGGACTGTAGTCGCAATGAAAACAGCACTACTTACAAAGAAGTCAACACTGTCATAATTATAAACACCCTGCGGAACTCGCAGAACGCTCATTGTCCACGCCATTGGTTGTGGAATTTTTGCCCAACGATCCCAAAGACTGCGTCTATACGCAAGAGCCCTCCATTCCAAACATCGAAATGTCCAAACAAATCGATTTCTTTTTCCCAAGCAACCCTATGTATGCTCTTGAGCTATATCATCGTTAAACGCAGGTTTCACTCCTAATTGGCTAAAACCCAAAGATGTTTAAGATGGCTTGGTAATCTACCAACTTTGTGCTAATTCAACTCATTTTATGTGTGATCAGAAAATACTACTGCATTAATGTTTACTTTGAAAGCTTGAAAAACAGAACCACATATGCAAGGAACATTGGTGTAGTTATGCAGTATATAACGAACATGACAAAATCAGATGAAAAATTATCAAAAATATTCATGCAATAACTGTGAATTTAGAACCTGAATTTTACAAACAAAATAATCATTAAAATAGTGAAGGATAAAACATATATATATTGTTATGAATAAAGTTGTTCATGAAATAATAAAACTATTAGATGCATATTGCATCTATTGTTCACCTTTTCAAAGTTATATGCACCCGCAATATAAAAAAATCATACAAATTATTGCCTCAGGAATAGTTCAATATTAACGAAAATGCTTGCAAAATGCCCACTGAGTTTATTCATTTTAACTATGAAAGCTGATCAGAATGGAATCATTTAAATCAATTCCTTGGCAATGAGAAACGCAAGGAATTCAATAAAAATACTAAACTTCAAATTAATGCTTCCTCAAGAAAATATTTCAAGTATAGCATTATAGCAGCTAAAATTGGAACAAAAAATTTGGTTAGCCTACTTATAATATATTTTATATGTAAAAGTTGGATTTGATCACAAAAAAAAAAATTTACTTTTAGATGAAGATCCACAATTTACAAAATCTTGAATGTCATGCTACACTCTAGCATGGCATTGCAGCTTCAAATAACAAATATTTTACAGGAACACATCAATATTACAAAATGTTAAATTATAAAAAGGTAAGAACATCAAAAAATTACTGGTAGTTTTTGCAATCATGAATAAGTAAAAAATTTCAATCCATGAAACATTTTAAAATATCATACAAAAAGAGCTATTAATCAATTAATTTATCAACAATATATTTCTCCATCTTTTTATAAATTATCGAATACAATTTACTGAATCCAGCAACATCTCGTGTTATATACGACACAAGTTTAGGGTTTGTTTCATTGTAGTAAGATATCTGAAAAGAACATAATAATTAATGATAGAGGGGTGCAATGTTCGAATATTGGACCAGATTATGAGTACAATAGTTGTCACAGTTGAGAGTAAATTGACAATTTATCAATGATGTACATGTCGATAATAAGAAGCCAATTATATGATGGAATATTATGCATTGACTGTTTTAATTCAGGGGTGTGCAAACTGCGGCAGAAAAATTGTGCAGCCGTGGAGAAGTGCCAATTTTGAATGATGTGCCCACGAAACAAGTTTTTAGTTTAGTTAATCTGTTACGTGCGAGCAATTTCAACCACTTTGCGTTGCGAAGCCTATACCAGTACCTGAGTGCCACTGTCATATTAGCAAAACTAGCTAGAAAAATCCTGTTGGAAAATACACAATCTTATTAAAGCGTGTTTCTCACTGTATTCATCAAAAGTCGGTGTGACAAAAAATGTTAATAGCAGTTTTCTTTAGAACTTTTCGCATTTCAACTCAACATTTCTGCAAGGACCCCTAACAATGTCATAAGATCAATGACAAAAAGAAACAATTTTTTGTGCTCGCAGCACCAGTTGAAACCCTATACCCACGAAATTAATTCGTTCCTCCCCTTCGTAAGTAGAAAATTCTGTAAGTAGGGACACATTTTACAGGTAAATGCCCTAATCCGCCCGCGGCTTAACCCAGTTACTTATATCTGACCCTCCTGTAATAAAGGTTGCACACCCGTTTTAAATTAACCCGAACCCCACCAACCTCTGTATTCTGTCCAGGCTCTTGATAAATTGTGAATCCAGCACAAGCAACTTCCAATTTTTCATGATCAATCTCATTCGATAATCCACCTCCTTCGACAACAACTGATCTCATTGCTATGATATAGGGCTCTCTGATTTGATAAATAAAAAAAACGATGAGAGCAACTGGCATTACCAAGTAAAAATAGACCTTCTTACTACACATGTAAGAATGAATAGTTTGAAAAAATAATCAGCTTTTTAACACAATTTCAGAGAGTAAAAATCATGTCTCACCCTTCGATTGTTGGTTCTCTGCATGAATAAAGTAAATCAAAATAATTTCTTCTCTTCACATTTTCATCTTCGTTAACGCTTGATCTCATCACAGTGTGATAAACGCAGTCGTCAATGCCAGGTTCACCTCTTATCAGATCACAACTCCTGACAATCAAAGTGTTGTAAATAAGGTTAATAAATATTTAATGCTAATTGAGTTAAAATACCTATTCATAAGTGGTTGAGTGTTGTCCTAGCACTTTTTTTTGTCTATAGAATGATTTAGTGTCATCAGTCATGAATTTGCATAATCCTACTTATTTTGATTTGAACAAACTGAATGTACATTTTAAATCTGAAGTTTGAAATATGCTTGCCATCGCACCTCTGATTACCCTGTGGGGCTCACATTCGAAGCTGATTCGATTCGACTCCTTACTGTTATAAGGATCATAGGGTTCACGCCACCACTGGCCAATTATGGCTTTCTCCACCATCAAGTGTACATGCATCTGAAACAAATAACTGGCTTACCATACCCGACATGGACTGGTAACTGGACAAGAGGCTGTGGTTCGCCATAAAATTTGATAAACTAATTTGTTCACAGTAAAAAAAAAATTTTCCCGATATTCGCATTTTTAAAAAGCAGCTTCTTTGAATATATGCAATCATAAATTTCATTCAATCTGAGTTCATGTGAATATCCTCATCTTAACTTACGTTAGAGTAAGTATAGTAATCAGATCAATCATCTTATTATAAAAGTTGGCGCTAAAATAAGAATAAATAAACTAAAACCTACTCCATCAAGGGATCCCATTGTGTTCTTTGTCGTGGATCACTGAGAATTTTGTAAGCATGATAATCTGTGACCTTTGAACTGCAGAGTTTTTTATGAACTTTGAATGTTAAAATTCCGTCACTTTCAAGGGTGCTCAACGTTAACTGCAAAGCAAAAAATATTTAATTAGACCAGAGAACAAAATTAACAAAAGATAGACAAGATTTCATTTTTACCCCTGGGAAGTGGAATGGGATAAAGTAAGAGTCGGGGGGAGAAGAATGGCAATAAGACGGCCTAATCATATGGCGAACCACGGCCTCTCCTCCGGTTACCAGTCCATGTCGGGTATGGGATTAGTTAGCCAGTTTTCTGTTTCAGATGCATGGACTTGATGGTGGAGGAAGCTGTAACCGACCAGCAGTTAGGTGAACCCCCGTACAACGGCAAGGAGTCCACCAATCCTCTCGCATATATTTAACCCTGCATGAGATTCGAACCCACACGGGGTAATCAGAGATGCTGTGCGAGTGTATTCCTAATGTTTACCACAATGCACCACAATTCCAAGTCAAGAGAACAGACTGAGGCCGCTTATTTATATGGCGTACCATGGTCTCTCATCTGATTACCAGTTTATGTCAGGTATGAGATTAGTTATCCAGTTTTTTGTTTCAGATGCATGGACTTGATGGTGGAGGAAGCCATAATCGCCCAGAGGTTACGTTACCACCGGTGGTGAGTCCAGCAATCATCCTACACATAATTATCCCACACGAGATTCAGACATGCGATACCACGCAGGGTAATCAGAGGTGCGATGACAATCGTATTCTGAATGCTTAGCACGATGCACACCACAACGGGCCTAATTTTTCCGCTATCGCCACCATGAAAGAGTAAGGCAAAAAAACAGATGAATAAATCTCGAATTTCAGAAAAGCTTAGAATAAAAAGCAGTGGAATTTGAAGCTATGTTTTATTTTATCTAGATACTTTATTGAAAGCAAATGAATACCTTATCTTCGCTTGAAACTTTCTTCCAGTCAGTTTTTGAAGCGAGTTCACTCATTGTACTTATGTTATTCAAACTGAGATACATGAGATTATTTTCATTCAAAACAACAGATAGTTTTTCTTTCCTTTTACCAGACAATATATAACGACGATCTAATCGTATCTTTCCTCGAGCAATAGCCTCCCGATGACGTCTAATACCATCCTGTTATATATAAAAAAAATAATACAATTGCAGTAACATTACTGATCTGGTAAAATAATTTCAAGGTGTCATTGTACATATTTTATTATATTCAATAACAATATGCAGTAATTACATATAAATCTTCAATAAATTTTGATATCTGAATTTGAGCTTAGGATAAACTATTATTTCAATTCAGCTTTGGGGGGGAAAAAAAGCCAATAATATAATCATCAAACCAAGTTGTGTTAGATATATTCCACACTAGTCCTTTGATCAACTATTTGACACTCTTCTTTTGCAGGAATGTAATTTGAGCAAAATGACCTCAACTATGACCTCTGACCTCTAGTCATCAACCCCCCTAAACGACAACCTTTTATTATTATTAACAATTCACCCTGATTACAGTAATAAATAAGTGAATCTAAAGACAACTCTACAAGTTCATTTAACAACAACACTCACTTCATCATGGTTATAGTTGAGTGCAGGAAGTTCCAACTCTGATTCAAATGTCAAGAATGCACTATTAATGTGTCTCAATTCACCAATTTCTCCCTCTTCACAATTGTAAGCATCAACTCTCACACCAACTTCTAAACTGAAAATTTATTTCTACTCTTATTGTAATTTCCATTATTGTTTCAGTTGAAGCAATTGCATATAAACTGTGTTGAAATAACTTAAATCAGTGCAATTCTAATCAATACAACATTATTAAAATGAGTTTCAGAATACCAGTGTGTAATAATCCCATCTATATTCAGAGTACAGCATAGGAATATAGTTCAATGATTGATGCTGACAAAAATAAATCCATAATTTTTTTAGTGTCTTTATGAGGCAATTCACAGTAGCCACTGATAAACAGAAGGCTACAATTTTTTAAGTACTGGTTCAGCATCGCCCGCCCAATTTAAAACGATCTGGGGAAGAAATGGAAGTGGCTATGGGGATTGAACGCGAGATCATTTAACAAAAACTTCAATACAGTTAGGCCAATGCTTTAATATTCACTAGGTCATCGCACCACTGAAAACTCGCACAACTGTAAACCAAATCCTGTTACGAGAATCCATGATTTAATTCTTTTTTTGAAATGTGTTTAAATATATCTCCAAAATTAAAACTTGCTCTACCACCAGACAAAATAATAGTTAAAATATTTAAATGCATAAAATACTCTCACATACCTTTTCTCAAAGGCACAGTTCACAATTGCTTGCAATACAATTCTGTCTCCGACTTGACTTGAACCTCTGAAATGTACCATATCGACCGATCGTAACTTGACTACATCCTTCACAAACCGACTGCACAAACAAAAGATAAGAAATGAATTACAATCTGAATGCAGGAGATAAAAAAATTAAAAAACTCCCTAAAAATATAAATGCTCAGTTAATAGTAAATGCCCTGAAAAATGATATCTATAGAAGGAGAAAAATATTGTACCGAACAAACAAAGAAAATTTGGTGTGTATAGAAGTAAAATTGCTTTGTTTTGCAACCGGCACTCCAGAAGTATGTGTACCAATATGAAGGTAACTAATTTTGTTCGCCTAGTTTACATCACAGACAGTCACCGAACTCGTAATAGAACTAAAATCTGAATAAAATTATGGCCTAACCCTAACCTGGTACACATACTACAGGAGTGCCTCGCAACCTAATCTGAATATAAGAATTAGAAGTAAATACCTACGCTGCACTAATTGATCCAATATTTTCAACCCATGCTAATATTTGTCCCCCAAAAGTATTACCGTGATGATTAGCATGTTGCGGAAGTACGAGTTCAACACTTTCAACTCTGAAAAAAAAAATTTATATTTGACCGAATAATTTATCAGACACAAGCTATTGTTCACACAATAGAGATTGAATATGAATTTAAGCATGTCCCATATTTCAAGCTTACAGATCTCGGAAATTGTCGAGAAAAGGCAAAAAGATGAAGTTTGGTCCAAAAGAGTAAATAGGTATGTTAATGGAAAAGGCATAATTCTCCTGGCCTAAAAACCACCATATCTTAGGCTATTCGTTTGGGTATAAATAATGTTCATTAGCATGAAAATGAAATCTCCAATTATTATCATTCTGATTGCAGAAATGATATGATTGAATATGAAACACAAAGTCAAGTATGCTGAGCAATGTTATCTCAACTATATGAAACCCCTCTCCGCCACGAAAGTTAAATGTGCCAGGCCTGGACCGGAAAAAAAGTTTTCTATATGACTAAGCTTATCCTCTTTAGATATATAAGATACAATACAACCTAACTTATGCAATTCCTTTTTTGTCAACCAAGGGTTTTTCATAAAAAATGTTAACTTAAATTAACAATTGATTTATACCTAACCTAGTCAACAAGCCATTTACAACTGGTCCATCAATAGTCTCTTCTTCATCTGATTCTGTACAGTCAGCCTCATAACTCTCCACCAAATGTGTTATAGTTTTTGAGTGGCTTATTCTTACTCGCTTTCTTTCTTCCGCAAGTGAGTAACAAATTTCCTCAGAATGAGATTCACATAAAAATGGTGGCAGTTTTATCTGAAAACGAGGTGAAATTTTGGTTTTCTATAAAAAGATTACTTGGAAGTCGTAAACCAAAATCAAGTTTGGAAAAATTGCAAATCAGTTACAATGCCATATTACATCTAACTTTACCAATTTACCTGAACTGTTAGGAATAAATTGGCAATATTTTATGTTTTGTTGCCATCAAATTTCAATAACTTCACACAATCTACAAACTTTTAAATCATAGTTTTATTCAATGACTGTTCAATCATGGAGACAAAGAAAATGACTAACTTGATTGTATAGGTTCTCAATCAAATAAAAAGACAACTTCCAACTTACATAATTAAAAAGGCAATATCAACAGTATATATTTGGTAAACACCTTTCCCGCTAATGTACTATGCAAACATATGTGAGATGAGTATTGACGATTTTTGGCTTCAATATTTTGCTCATTAGTAATCAGAGAATCGCAACTTTAATCATCAAGTCACAAGCAGTGTTAATTTATAAGTTAACACAAAATTAACAAGTTCACCTTTCTTCCAGCCCTGTTCAAAGCTACAAATGTCAAAAAAGCTTCACAAATAGTTTTCTTCTCTCCTCCAAGATGCTCTTTCGTCACCTGCACTCCAACCTGGACAAAAATCAGATTGCATAACACATTATATACATATATCAAATCAAAATTGGTCTTGTAATTCCATGTTATTCGATTTTTGCTTTGATGTGTTACTTTTATATATATGTATATATATATAAAAATTGCATATTGAAGACAGCTATAGAAGATACATTCTCCATAACTGTAGTTCTTGAAAACAAATTGCTATGGGTGCCGTTGCTCGATAGCCAATTTTGGTTTCTCGCGGCTCCACCCACCCTGAAATGCTTTTCAATTATTTATTAAAATTCGTACATTAGGTGTGCTTTCAGTATGGTAGGAACATAAACTACTGATTACTGATTGTTAGAAGCTTTCTTAAAATAAACAACATCAATGACATTTCAACAAAATGAATCATATCTTTACTTTAACTCATCACTTTACCAAAATATTTATCACTTACCTCCATGCTTGTGTTGAAAGCTCTATTAACTTTACTTTTTAAACAAATGATTTCACCAAGATGAACTTGATCCTCAAAATAGAGATCGTCAACTGATACAGTTACACAGGAGCAACCAGCGAGTTTTTCAGCTGAAAATTAGGCAAATATTTATGGTATGAAAGTCTCGTATATTTAGACCTGAAAATGTATGACAGCTATTGGTTGTATAGAAGGTTCAGGAAATACTGGAAATTTCTTATCTTATAAAAATGATAAACTGTTTGACATACCTGCCAAGCATGCAGAAATGTCCACCCATTTTAATAATTGACCACAACTTAGATGTCCATATTTATCAATGTGGCTTGACTGAATGATCTGACACATTTCCACTTTTGTTTTCTCAGGTGACTTTATTTCTCGTTTGTCCTCCATATCTGCAAAATCCATTCGACTCTGGAATAAAAGAAGTTCGATAAGAAAACATGTAAAAAAATAATAAAAAAGTTGAGAAAGTATGGTGTCAAATAATATCGCTACTGAAGCAATTTACAAAATGAAATTCACTTAATGTTGAAATGATGTTAATCAAATTGCTGACTTATCACTTTGATGTGTCAAACTTTCGGTATCCACATTACTGCATTAGGTACCTAATGTCTGCGGCCAAATTTAAATTTATTCAGTTTATACAGTTAGGTATAGGCTTCAGACATGTCTGCATGTGAACACCAACAGCTGAACTGGCTGACAGACTGAACTGGGCTAGAACTTATCCCCAACTCTATCAGTCTATAGAAATGCCTTATATTTATATGCCTTATGAATATAGTCTATGCCTAGAATATGCCTTATACATAACAACTTACATGCAATTTTGAAATAGTGGTACTTTGTTGTTGACGCCATAAATACATCAACCCATCAACCAGGTTGACTAAAGTAAACATTGCTTCTCCAAATTGCAGACCCTTGTTTGCTACACCAGATTTACATGTTTGATGACAATAAATCTTGATAAATTGATATACAAACAATAAAAGACATCACTGAGCAAACTCTAACGACAAATCAAACACAAGATAAAACGCGTGTAAGCAATGCCGACATTTGACATAAACAACTGCAAATCCCGAAAACAGCGGAACGTGTAAAATTTGTTTATGTGGGCGGTTCGGAGGCGGTTTCACAACGCTCCATTGGTTGGAAGTTCAACGGATGATTACCTGACCTTTGGTATCTGAAAATTCTTCTTCGTCACTGCAAAAATTTTGGTTCTCATTTTAAAAGTGAGTTGGCGCCTATAAACTGGTTTATATATTTCAATTCATCATTTTCATTCAATTTGGTTAAGGAGAAACTGAGACAGACTAGACTAGACTAAAATCAGCTATCAGTAGGCCCGGTACCAGTAAGCGACACGTAATTATTATTATTATTAAATGTTCTAATAAAAATGATGGTTTCAACTATCGAGAGAATTTTTCTGGGGTCGAGAGTCTGGGAAACGCTACACAAGTGAATAAACAAGTATGTCGATGCTCGAGGAACGTTCGATGAAAAATAACTTAAAGACGTTTAAAATTTGATCATGGTTCCGAACTTTTCCTGTTAAGTTCCTTCCTTTGCCTATTTTGGAACTCTTTATTCCTCCCTCCCTATGAATAAAAAAAATCATTTGTTCAATCTTCAATGGATCCTTCGCTATTATGCACATGTCGCTCCAACGCTTGAGTACGGTTTAACTAAGTAGTTTAGAATGTGTGCATGAATGCGTATTATACCGTAGTAACAATAACTAAAAAAGAATAGGCCTACTAGTATCAAAACAGCGAATACGAAGCAAAATCCCTCCTGAAACTGCGAAATTCATCCGGGGGGAGGGAACTCCACCCCGGTTCGGATACGTTGCTCCTCCAGTCTGATACAAGTAGGGATGAAGCCGCGTGCGCACCTTTATTCAAAATAGCCTTTCTAGTAGTTACAGACACAAAAATTGTTTTATTTTGCTCTTGATCTTATGGCATTTGCGGTCATTGCAGAAATGGTGAGTTGTTGAAGAATTTTAAAGAAAACTGCTATTCAAATTGATTGTCTCACCGATTAATAAAATTCAGTTAGAAACACGTTTTCATAACATTGTGTATTCTGCAACTGAATTTCGCTAGCTAGTTTTACTAATATGATATTGGCACTCAAGTACTGGTATAACGAAGCAAAGAGATTGGAATTGTTCGCACGTTACATTGTTCCGAGTAACGTTCAAATGTTCCCGAGTAAATTAAAATTACTCGAAAGTCTAATTTTATTAATGGCGTTATTGGACAGTTACAAAATTAGCCAGGTCAGTATTTCATCAAATAAACGAATAGCTCTCGAAGCCCCCTAGGTTGTTTTCACGGAACCCTGGGGGCACCGTATGGAGCACTTTGCGAACCTCGTAAAAATCGTTTTTAGGTGAGTATTAACTTCAGCATGTTTTTATAGTTAGATTATAAATACCATCGATTCTTTACTGCAATGATACATCGTCAACTGGTTAAAAATTGTTTTTCTGCAGATCCTTAGCAAACTCCATTGAATCCAAGAACTTCGCGTTAACTTAATTTTATTATGAGCAGATTTAGCATGGTTCGCGCTTTGGATGACTTTTTTCATGGTATCCATAGCTTATTCATTCATGCTCTGTTAGGCACTAGAAATCATCAAGTGTGACCGCGAGGTTAGTGTCCAATATGAAGCATTGAACAACATTTCATTTGAGGTTTGGGAGATCTGTGCGAAACAGAAACTTGGATTACAAATTTCTCTAGGTTATAGCCTTGACGTGCTTGTATAATAACAGAATTGCCTTCACATTACATGTGTGATATTTCCGGCTGCGGTTTGATTGGCTTATCGAAGCCACTGTCTTGCCCGGTTTTAAGATTGGCCGACTTGGTATCGCAGTAAACGGTCATTTGTTTACAGCGAAGCAATATCGAATAGAGTCATAGGACCTACGGAGCATAACGTTATGTCGGAAATGTACAACGTGTCTTTGTCAAAAACTGGTAATTTTTAGAGACACATTTATATGTAGTGTACAGAACGGATTTGGAACATTAGAATACGGCCATCCATTATATTATGTTTACCATGTGATTGCATCTTGCAAACACGAGTACAACAATTTTTCACAAATCTTATTAATGTCAAGTTGCCATAAGTCTACTTTTGGTGGGCATGGTTGTTGGGACAATCTATTCATATTAGTGTAATTAATTTTCAATGGATAACACATTCGCCAAATCACTATCCCCTTGGCCAGTTTAGACGCGCTCTGTTTGATACGGTGATAAGCAAATAACGTCGAGTTTGACGATACAAAATCAGACCTTGGTGACCAATCCTCGGGGAGTTTGAAGACGTAAATAGACGGTCCGGCTAAGGCAAATAAAGTGTACGGCAGGAAATAGATGAAGTGGTAATGTAAAGGACAGGCGTGAGCGAAGGTGCATTCTTAGTATTGTTTAGTTTTATATTTTAATCGTTCAGTCGTAAACCCACTAAATAATTTAGCTGATTCGTTTGAGACAAATTTCAGTTTTATTTTTATTCTACGTTCTTCGTTCACTTCTGTTTGTATAATTTGCTTGCAAGATATATATATATATATATATTTTTGAGTATCATCATTCTAGAATCTAGATAATGTAAACTTCGAAAAGAAAGTCCGTAAAAGAAGTCTAGGGCTTTAGTAGGTTGAATTGTTCCTCTTGTTTACAATCCGAACGATGTCATCTGAAAAACACACTTTCGGTCGTTCGATCTAGAAGAGCAAATATATTAATACTACGATAATTGTATCACGAGCCTGCTACTAAGAACTAAACAAATAGAGATTTGACAAAAAAAATGATCAAATTAGAACTGTCTGTATTCATTCAAACCGCAGTAGTTAATGATACTGACTACTTAACTCTTCAGATAGAAAATCGTTTTTTCTAATATAATTTGTTGTTTTTCAAAGGCCCTGACAAATATTGTTTTCATTTTAGATTTGTAATACCAATAATAATATTTGAATCATGATAGAAGGTGTTTCTGCCACGTACCAGACTAAAGTTAGAATTGTGTTCATTTTAACATGTGTCCTCGTGATGTCATTCTTGTTTGTTGAATATTTAGAAGTGGAAGTAACATTTCAACGTTGGGGAACGCCGAAATCAAAACTTGAAGATCACAGACAAACGATCGTTTTTTACAATAAAGTTAGTAAATGTGGAAGCAGATCTTTTTTAAGTGTAGCTCGAGAATTGGCGCAGAGAAACGAATTTACTTTCTATAAACATATTTTGAATGGAACGTACAGACCGAAGTATGATGACCTCATTTCCGAAGTGGAGCATATCTCGTCTTTACCGATACCTGGTATATACCATAGACATATGTATTTTACAAAGTTTGAAAAGTTCGGATATAGACATCCAATATATATTAATATGATACGAGACCCCGTGGACCAATGGGTATCACTGTATTATTTCCGTCACAATGGCGATGGACGACATCGAAGGGGGTCAGGAAGCGTCACCGACATAAACGATTGCATTTTGAACAACCTCACCACTTGTGAGATCCCAAAAGAGTTTTACATCGGAAATTTTTTCTGTGGCCAAACCTCGGCATGTTCGCGAGGAAGTTATGAATCCGTTAAAATAGCAAAACGCCATATTGACGAAGACTACTTTTTCGTAGGATTATTGGAAGAATTTGAAACAAGTTTACAAATTTTAGAAAAGATTTTGCCCAAGTATTTTTTTGGTGCAATGGATGTCTGGAGAGAAATAGAACGAAAATTGAAAAATGAAACAACCACACTCAATAAACATGAGATTAAACCGGAAACGCGTGAAATATTGAGAAAAAAATTACAAAATGATTATGAAGTTTATTTTCATATTAAACACAATTTTAACATACTAAAGAAGGACTTAGGTTTTACTAATTCTTAAATGTCATTATTTATATCTCTTCCTTCTTCCTCATTTGTTTGAACATGCAAAGCGGAATATGTCAAGAGCTTTTACTTGTCTTCTCATTATTTGCTTAGACGTTTTATTAAAACGCTGTATAAGTAAATAGATTACGTGAAGTGCGAATCACGATATTGCAAACGTTAGTACGATGATGTGTTTTACATTTTGAACTAGCTACTGTCATTGTGATTGATGTGTACATCCCACCTCGTTTTGGAACTGACTAAACCTGGTTTTTATCAATATTATGTCAGTGATATGGAATACTAATTTATAATAAAGTTTATGACTATATCACGTAGGCCCCCATCCATGGCTGAATTAACCCTTAAGCAAAATAAGCACGTGCTTAGGGCATCAAGGTATCGATAGTACATCCGTGTTTATTGAAATGATGCGAGTGGGTCAACAGATTCAGACCTCAATATTGGCCCAGTTGAAATAAATTTTTGCCAAGTTTTCTCTCTCAATTATCATCTTGAACTTATTTATGAATGTTTGTAGGTTTGAGAACTAATCCCAAAAATATCATGTAATTAAATCATAACTTTGCCTTCAATTAGTAATGAATACTAAAACTGCAATTTCAGATATCACGGAACCCTACATTCCTATCATTATTATTTTTATGTTATTTTTATATATAGGGCAATGATTATTTTTCTTACTCTCTCACCTGAAATATCTTATCTTCGGACAAAAGTTTTCAACTTTACGATTATTCTTTTTTACGAACCGTAAAAAATTGATCAACGAAATATATATCGTGTTTATGCCTTTTATAAACAATGTAACAAAACCCGGAACCCAACGGAAATGTAATTTTGTTGATTTTCCTAATATACATACCGTGGGTTAGACCTATGCTATTGTTATGCAGAACTTTCTTTCATCATTTACTGTTGCGTGACGCTAGAATTATTTATGCCGCATATTCGTAAAAAATGGTCTATTATAATTTTCCTGCATAATAAAAATTGTCTAAATAATTCCGATAAACGATCGTTTTGTACACTAACGTGTCAAATGAATCATTTAAAATAAATGAAAATTTTGTTGATCTCCAGTACGATGGTTATGCCGAGTTACATGCCTCAAAAATATGATGATTTTCTTCCGGAGATTGAAACATTTGTTGAAGGAGAGAAGGATATCCCTCAGCCTAGCAACGATAATTAATAGGTTGGTGATATATTATACCTGGTCGACATCACCACCCATCTTTACATCACGCATTACAAAAAAATAATAAGCTTCACCACAATTTGTACACCACAGCATCTGCCTTCATTACAAAACTTGGCATTGGAAAATGTAGCTTGCAAGTGGTGCAACATAACAACCAACGGATCTTTTGATGTGTCACCCGAATAAATATGAAGTCAGATGTCAAGCTGAGACAAGCATTTCAAAGTGAAGATCCACTTAACTTTTGGAGTCTAATTCCGGAAAGAAAATATCCCAACCTGATAGATAACGCCCATAAAAATACCGCTGTATTTGAATAAGCTTATGTAGGCCTATGTGAAGCGATTTTCTTCCCAATAGTCAGAATCAAAAATCAAGTTAACTTGGGTTGTTTGTATGGATCTCCTTTCAACTTTAAGGTTTGAAATTTAGTTCCGGAACTAAAAAGTTGGGAACCACTGCTTTGCAGTTATTTGACTTCAATCAATTTACTTCAATGTTAGGAGGTAGGGTTAGAAATACGGCCATAAAATATGCCAACACACAATGTTCATTAAATCAGGTTCTTCTACATACTTATTACTTACTAAAAACATAAATAAGTACAAAACGTACTTTTGCGTAAAATTGAAATAAAAAACATTGACAGAAAAAATATATTTTCTACGATAACCCCAGTCAGTATATGCCCCCATTAAAATACAGGGATGCGAAACTAGGGATTTTTATTTATCAATTTTTTTCTGTATCTTTTGTATTTTTCATTGAAATACCCCTTGCATCGCCGTAAAACTACGTCAAAATGTTTATCCGAGATATCAGGGAGACGTTTCGAGTAAGAAAAATATTTGGAATTATTAACCTGAAGAAAAAATATAAGATGTATAAAGTTTTAAACTGGCATTATTCTGGAACGAGCCTTCACATTTTAAAATTGATTGTCAAGGCCCTCGAGGTTCTAAGTTTTAGCCTATCCTTGCCTAATGGTATACCCGGCACTGGTTCGAATCCCATGAGTGATGTGACAATGTGCAAGACGATTGCTGGACTCTTCGCAGGGAGGTTCACGTAACGGCTTATCGTTTGCGTCTTGCGTCACTAAAAAATCCCTATGAAAAACTGATAACATAACTGGTAAAAAGATATAATCAACGTCACTGATTGGTAGAAAGATAGATGTAGTAAAAGCATCTAGTTTGAGACAACTATATATACATGGGTGTAGCGTTGATTATTGATATGCAAAAATATTAAATACCGCTGTAGATGGTAACAAATAATTTACTTAAGCATAAATCCACGTGTATAGAGCAAAAATCTGTTGCCTTCTAAGGGCCATAGTGTGACTGGGTTGGTATCGCTGCCCTGGGTATCTGGTACTCAACTGGCCCAGGTTGGTTCTGTGTCGTCCAGATTACTTGTTGTTGCATGGTTGCAGTTGGATAAACCTAAAGTGATATAGGAAATACACACTTTTGTCTAGTACTATATATATTTGAATTGCATACATGGGCATATACTTTCGTTAATTATTACTGAGAGTTCTTGAGAACTTGTTCATACATTGGGCAGTCTAGGCGGCATTCCTATCCACACCTCATAAACCACCTATACTGGCATACACAAATATATTTAAGTCGTACCATGGTGGCTTTCCGTTAAACGTAAAAAGACAGTCTCTTTGTGTCTTTGAACAAACCTGGGCGCCTTGTGGTGGTCTCCTTGTAATATTCTTCGTACCAAAAGCTTCCAATAAACCACCCACAAATATCATCATGGCTGAAACCCAGCCGAGGTAATAGGAATATCCCAAAACATTAGCAGAAGGTGTTTCGCCGTACGTAAGCGCACCCAGTAATGCGGCGTATGCTGCACAGCCAATTCCTATCAAAATACCTGGAAAATTAAATCGGAAATTATTATGTCAAATTATTTTTAATGTGATAAGTGCTAGGCATAAGGTTTGCAATGAAAATTGACTGATAAACTCTGAATCAACTCTGTAACAGCAGTAAAACAATTCAAATTTATACTTTCTATAATATCCATCGCCGCTTCTACTTTTACGTCTCCAGTACCAGCAAAAGCAAGAACACCAGTTATGATGCCAATAAGTAGAAAAATGCACGCGATGAACAAAACTGCTCTAGTTGTAATTACGATAGTTCCAGCTTCATCAATCGCCCATCCTATATAAAAATGCAAGAAAAACTTTTCAAGTGTTTTTTGTGTTTTCTATTTTAGGGAAACACGTCAAGTAGGAGGTACAATATAGTGTCATTTGGTAACTCATTACCTAGTGATATATAACTGGCGGGGATGGATTGTCCTATGAGTGCATTAATTTGCGCATTTGCAAAGAAAAGCTCAACACACACTGATGCAAAAAAAAATTTCTAGTCAAGCATAGCCATGAGAGAATACGAATATAAATTTATGTTCAAATAAATCTCTATCTTTGCGTATATACTATATACCGAAACTGCATTGCAATATACAATGTGAAATATTTAGTGATTTTCTTGTGAATACTTCTTTTTTCAATATCTTGCTTTTACCTATATAAATCGTTAATCGTTAAATCACAATTACACCCACCTATTTCTGTACACCGATATGATCCAAAAATATTGAAACATGATTCAAACAGTCCAGAGTGAGACGATGAATTCGGTTCGTGCCAGTGGCTTGTACTGAGACTAACGATGAACAAAATTAAGCCGAGAACTTTGATGATGTTTCCCGCAATACCGATTTTTCTCATCGGTATTTTAGCCATTTTTTTCTATTGTTCTTTTATTGACAGGATACAGTGGTTAGCAGTTATAAATAGAACATGGGTTTCTAGAAATATTTCAAATTAGTAGAAAGGGATACAAAATGGTATAGAAACATGCAACAGTCCAGATGTAGAATGCGGAACGACCAGAAGTTGAACATTATAACATTAGACGCGTGGGGTCAGGCATTTGCGGTTTCGGCATAACCATATCTAGCCCCCACAAACCAACAATGCTAACAATAATAAGCCAATACTTGACTATGCCACCAATGAAAAGTTCAATCTGGATCATAGTGTATCTTCACCAATTTTAAGAGCATATATATATACTAGAAAAAATGGCTTAATAAAGAATGGTTGGTATTTTCCATAGGCGTTCTGTACACTATGACTAAAGAATATTGAAACTATGTTCTAATAACTTTATATAAACTTGAAAGCCGATGAGTGGCTGAACGGCATATCTTCTCTCACAATCTTTCCATGTGCTGCCAAGAAAAATAATGACAAGGGAATGTGTGCGTGGGCAACGTTATAAACATGCTATTGTTTTGTTCCAGGTTACACAAGTCGACTTGCCTTTTGTAGTGGTTTAGTACGTTCCACATTCCATTGTCGAATAATTAATTGGCAACTGTAATATTATACTGCTTGTTCCATATCGTCATACACTTATCCGTTACAATACATATATACAACCAAAAAGTCCCAAATCCTAAATGTGCAATAGATATTAACAAATGTTTTTGTAATTGACCTAACTTTACATCTTAATAAGGGCATTTGTTTGTTTGATTTTATGTTTAAAATCTTTCAACAAATCTGTTTTATGTTTATCTTGCAAATTCTTAGATCAATATATTAACCAGGCTTGTTCATGGGGCATATTTTTCTGTTCCATTCCCATCCCATGGGATTCTCATTGGAAAAAAATTCAATAAAAATCGTTAAATTTAGATTAAGCGTCAACTAAATAGGACTACATGTATACGACGAGACATGCAAAACAACAAAATTCCCAGACTTTGTTAACTTTGTATTCATGACTGTTATACATGTGTTCATCAGCCCCTTCACGAAGTATATTGTTAATGCTGAATATATTTTGCTTTCTATAACTAACAAGAGGGCTATGCTCTATTATATGAACACGAAGTTAGTTCATAACGAAACGTTTTACCATCAGTTCCAAAAAAATCATACGGTTTTCGTATCCCACGTGTCCCATGGGAAATACAAATGTGTACTGTCCATCCCGCCCCATCCTATAGGACGTTTCCCATGAACAAGCTTGATATTAACAGGATGATGGTTTATGGTTTCGGTGTGTTGCGTCACTCTCAGTCTATTCAAATTTTTTTTTTTTTTCAGAAAGGTTCCAGGTTACAACTACAAATTACTACAAGTTACAAGTAACAACTACGCATTTGACAGATATTTTCCAATTTAGATCTGAAGTAAATTACTCTACTGAAATCTTTAAAAACAATCATGTATGACAACTGGAAGCAGTCATCGATGAATGTCGCAATCACATCAAATGCTGATCAATCTTCATTGAATGTCCCATTATTATACTTGTTTTTATTTTATTGTTAATACCATACAAAGTTATTTTTTTCCTATTAACCTTAAACAAAAGTTAAACGATTGCATTTTGCCAGCGAATTGAAAAGCCTGATGCACTGTTTTGCATATAAAACGAGACTACATGGCGTCAGTTTGCAATGAATTCTAATTGAACTGTTGCCGATGACGTGAGCGATAAACAATGCCAATGCGAATATATATTCTCATTGCTGAACTTATAATCTGCAACTGTCGATGGGCACGAATGTCCGGAAATTCAAAAGTCGTTGATACAGAAATTCATGGATGAAAATATTTACGGGTACAAACGTTTGTGGTCCGTGAAAAGGTCCGTAGATGCAAGGATTCGTGAAGCTCAATGTCTATGGGTGAATATCGTATTGGTATGCAATTGAGAGTTTCTAGGCCCTCAGTTCGACCTAATATTAAACTCCTTTGTAAAGCAAAAAAGTCACAAAAATCACGCAGTCAAGCTTTAACACTGCTTTAAATAACTTCAGCTGTGCATAATATATATAGCAATCATTTGCTTACAAAACTGAAGCTTGGTACGGTTCATCTATTTATCTTTGAATTACGTTATCAAATTCAATATACAACATTAATTTTATTAGTTTATAATTACCAGTGATATAATATGAAGTAAGAGGTCAACACGTATTGTGTTACGAAAACGAACATGCTGAAAATAAAAAAGAAAATGATATAAATCCAATTGTTTGTTAGCTTTTATTAAGGTGGATATTTAATGAATTTATGAGTAGGTCTACAGTACTAAACAGATTTCAGCATGTACACACGATTGACTGCCACTGTATAGTTATAAATTTTCAACGAAATTTTTTTGAACTTTCTATTTTTTATTTCCTGTTTTGGAGGTTATGCAGAGTTCCCAGACGTCTTCTCCTTCTGACACCAATATCTTCTTGTTTTCGCAAAATAAAATTGCTTGACATTTGTTTGTAAGTAGCGATGTTCTTTACCTTCTGAGTAAGTGGTTTGACCTCGCTTTACAGTACACGAGAAATTAAGTTAAATGTTTGAAATAAAATTTACACAAAAATTCAAGAGTCATTTTTGAACAAGCAGTTGGGCTCTCTTCATCTGTTTTGCATTCTAGTTGGTCATTTATTTTGTTCTATAGCATAAGATTTTCCTTAATATGGCTGTTCACATTCTGATATCTGCATGCACATGTTTTCTTTTCTTTCAATGTTGGGTTTCTGATATTTCGGTATATTTTAATTCCTGTACCTAATATTGTAATTAGGTGACCAGTCGAGGTATATTTGGATTCTCCCCTACATTTTAACTTGCTGTAGTACTATATGCTGTGTCCTGCGTGTGCACAAAGTTTTTATCCTTGGTCGAATTTATGCTGTGTATAGCATGCAAATGTGTAAGGGTTAGTGTGATGTTAATGACTAAGATAATGGCATACATGTGTGTGGTTTGACCGACATCGAAAGGTTTTTGCATGGTTTGTGAACAATTTCTCCTGTGTCCCAACCACAATCTCTTCTTTCTCAGGTCTTTCAACTAGCAGCCCAATGATATTTAATTAATATTAATCAATATTTACACAATTCAACAACTTCCACTCAAAGGTGTAGGGTAGTTTTCTATTGATTCCTTATTTGCAATCATTGAATATTGTACTCGCAGATATATTTTTCGTTTTTCCGGACGTCATGATGATCAATTTAAATGCTATCTATGTCAACATGAAAGGTGTATACATCAACAAAACTTGCAGACTGATGAATCATCCGTGATGAATTTGAACTGACCGCAGTGATCAACAACCTCAATTAAAGTTACTTGCTTATAATCCATGACCCTAGAAACCTTACTTGAACCTTAAACACCATATATATTCCCTTAACCAATTTTCCTACCTCTGTATCATACCGCCCTAATTAATTTTAATTATGATTACCGGTACTGTTATTGATTAATAGTATTTAAAATAATTTGGACGTTATTTGGCTTGTTGTGGCTTCTATTCGATGAGTGAAGCAGGTCTAGCCCACCTCTTCATACATCCAACTTGGCAATTCTGATTGGGCAATTTGGCATTAGGTGACTCCAATTATAATAAGCTTGACGATATCTTTTGAGGAATACTTTTCTATCCACAATACATTACTCTTGTTGACTAATTCGGTATCCAATTTGGCAATCCTCATAAAATTATTAATTTGGTGTGGCAAAAGAAATTATTCATTTTTTTTTTATTTGTTTGTATATTTTCCTTCCTTTTTACTTTTAAGTCTCGCTTTTTTCGCTTCCGACAGTATCATGTCTCGATGATTGTGTGTGTGTGTGTGCGTGCGTGCCTTAATTAGTTTTTTTTTTTTACTTTTGGGTGAGCGAACACGTACTACTTCTTTTATCAATACCTTTCCATCTAAAATCTGTACGTTTCAAACCTTACTCTAGGTTTTGTTCGCTTTCCCGACTTTTGTTTTTATCTATTTTTTTATCGTCTATTGCTGATTATGGAGTCGAAATAAACTTATACTTATAATTCAGTATCCGATATTATAATATATCTGAATTCTTCATAATCAACAAGCCAATATTGTACGATACTACCTTTTGAACTAATTAAGTTCAATGAGGATAGATTACCACAGTCTTACTTTGTCCACACTCAACTTAATCCATGATTGGGCAAAGTTTTTTGCAAGAGCCGGTTTCAGAAAACCTTATATACAGACAATAAAATATGAATATGCTGCCGATCGAATACGCATATACAGCCTACTCAATATATATACACAGCGTATGAAGTGTTGTACATAGACAATTAATATATTACCATGCGCTATAATGACAACGCACGGTGCATACTGTTAGATATTAATTTAGAGTCAATATCTAATACACACTCGATAAAAAATAACGTGCTCATGTTGAATTCGTTTTCAACAAATTCTTGAATGAAATACACGCATTAGACGAGTAAAATCTAAGCGTACAAAAACATCCAACGTTTGCTTTCATTGAAGCGTCATTCAGGGTGCCTCTGCATGTTTTTTGTGCGTAAGGACACATGCATAATCAGTCGTTCATGTATGGAAGGATGCTTTAGAAATATTTAGTAACAATACCGATATTTATCAACTTTATTGGATATATTATTTATCTATCTAATGGTCATTGGTAGTGGTCTTAAGGCAGACTAAATTAATTGAAATAAGATACAAATTATCATCGGTTTCATTTTGTTTTATTATAATTTGCAAAACAACTCTAGAGTTTTATTATTTGAAGTAATAATATACAGCTAAAGGTGATTGGCAATATGTGATGATTCTGCGTTTTTCTCCAATGAGAGCGGTTATTTATATACAATGACCTGAAAGTGCTTCGTCGAAGGTTTAAATATGGTGTTAAATTACTACAATCCGATGAATTCCACTTCTGGTGCGATTGCCCCAATATACATTGTTCCCATTCGGCTTTTTTTTTTTTTGCACGAGAGAATGCATTCAGTTATAGCATTTTTAAATCTACCACAATCACGCAAATAGGTATCGAGTTATATCAGCATTTGAATAGACTGTCCGATAGCCAATAGCAGTGAACCAGGCACAGACTAATCCAAATAGAATTCAACAAAGCAATGCACTGTTTGATTACGGCTTAATTTTCTACAATTATATACATATGAGATGGTGCTTAAAAAGTTTATAATTTTGTGTAACAAATCATCTGTCGACTTGGATCTTTGCTCTTGTGAGTAGTAAGGAAAAGATTTCTTCCTTGTATGATTAAGTACTTTTTGCACCCGTTTATTTAGTCGGAACCTACGAGGCCTGTAACGCCGAATAGTTTTGCCCTTTCGTGTTCAATTGATGCAATATTAAAATGCGGATATTTTGCATTTACGACCCTTAGCTGACAATGAATAATTCCAAATTATTTTGTTTAAAATCCGTTCACACGGATTTAACTTTTTTGATAAAATGCTTGGATATTATTTTACATTGGCAATCATTTTTGCTAAGCATTTCCAATTATAGATTGTACATCAGTTTTCGTTGTTATGCATTGCGAAACAGATGACGAACCTCGGAACCTGAATTTTCCAAGTTCCAGGACATAAACTGTCCAGTTTATCGCCAATCAGACGCATATTTTAGTACTTCAGCATATTTTAGGGATGGGATCAGCATACTCACAAACAGGCCATATATATCTGCTGTAGCAGATAGAAACATTGAAACTGGACTTGTATTGATTGCAGACAAAGGTATGGATGAGCTTCCTCCGATTGCGATATAAATCGTATCAGTCATTTGCGTACAAAAAACAAAACCAATTCTGTTCATCAGTTTATTTACGACATTTATTTTAAAATTTTATATGATAAATGACAAAAAAAAAGTCTGGTTTCTTAATTTTCTGTTTTTTTTCTGGTTTAATTTCCCCATGTTTGTCATTCATCTTACTCATCAAACGAGTCTCTATCAGCAAAATACTCTGGAAAAAAGGATTTTAAACACAATTAGTTTATGCTAGAAGAAAAGGCAGGAAAATATTACTGCAGAAAACTTGCTGAAAATGAAAATAAAGAGGTCAATAAAGAGTACACATTTGATCTAAAAAGAAGTTATTAAAGAGGTATCTGAAATTATTGAGGCTTATACTCACGATTGACAACTAGCACCTCTACCGCCCGGCACTCCTGTTCCCATGCAATGGCATTTCGTGCATCTGTTCAAATAAAATGTTTCTCCTGGTTGATGCTGATGCCCATTACTGTCATTGCAATGATCAATGAACCCCGTGGATGCATCGCAGCCACAATAGAGGGAAAACAATCCCAAAACAACAAGAATAATAGTCAACTTCATACTGATAGTTATTGCCTGTTCGATTTAAAAACAGAGTAACAAAAAGTTTATGCTCAACAGTTTTTCGAGCCCTTATCTATACAATTTTATAGCGTTTAGCGAAGGAAGTTCATTAAAGTTCAGGTTCTGTATTTAAACGGTGTTTTGTTTTTAACGATATTTAATTCAAGAAAATATAAAAATAGAATACTTTTTCTTGAAAGAAATAAAATCTTGTTTAAATATTGAAACTTATGTAAAATGAAGAAGTTTACTTATTTTACGTTTAGAAGTCATTTCAAGTGATTGGGTTCGCTTTGAATCATTACACAATGTTGAATATCAAAACCTTGTAAGATTACACACTGTTGCATGAAGGCTTTAATTTTCACGAATCTGTATTTGTTGTAACAGAACTGGAAATGATAATACAAAGACAGAACATCAAACAATTTCGGGAATTTCAAAGCTAAAATTGTGTGTTTGTTAGAAAATTCGGTAATCAAAAGTAGGCTGTTAATTGAAATTGTCATATTGATCAATTTTTCATTGCGACAACAGCGATCAATCTGTAATTCCGCAGATTTTTGTCAACAAAAATAGTTTAGATTATTCAAAAATAAAAGATTACAAAAGTCAATGACACGCAGGAAAATACTCTCCCAGTACGGATAAAAACGTATTTGTAATATGCTGACAACGCGAGCAAAACAGCAACAAAATTGAGTCATTACATCAATTTTTCAAAATTCAACTCAAAAAGACAGCTTCAATTTGCCCACGTCTGTCTGGACTATATTCCATATACGACACAGTGGCCTATATTTATACGATTTCGGCTTCCTTTTAGAAAAAATCAAGCAGGATATTCATTTTTATTTTCAATTTTCCTTGAAAAACAGCTGTTGGAATGTGTAACCTATATACGACAAATACATTCAAATTGACATCTGCACAGCCAGCCATTAGTTGCCATTGAAATTCAAAAAGACCAAAGTGACATAAAATACTTTTTGTTACTTCCTGAGCCAGAAAATTTCACCCATAACAAGAGTACAATTATTAGAAAGCTACTGAAAGATCAAATATTTATTTCTTATTTTTGTCAATATTCGAATTATCAATTATTATATGCACGCAGTCATGTCATTAAAATTGTTTGACTTACTGAAAGTAATATTACTAAACTACCAAAATTAGGATCTTTATATAAAAGCAGCATAACTAATATTTTATACAAAAAATACGACAACAAAGCGTGAAAAACTTTGTAACTTCTCAGCAATAATTCGGCATGGAATTTGGAAGCTACATTATCCACCATAGTTACGTTGCACATGAAAGATACACAACGGATGGTCAATATAAAATATCCAGTTTCGCTTTCAGTACTACAAACATTCAGTACTACTTAAATACTTCATTGTATACAATGCAATGTCTGTATTGCTTTGTTAGTACGTAGATACAAAGGCTTTTATATTATTGGTTTTGTATTTCTGTCTTATGTAGAGTAAAATTTTATACTTTAATTATCAGCATAACGAAATGAAAGTTTTACGTTTTCACAAAAACATTGTACGTTCATCCCGAACAATATCTACCAATTTCTCTAATTTTAATGGCGGTATATGACAGCAGAAACGTATATATCATTCGAATTATTTATTATAAATTAGCACATCAATACTCACCAGGAATAAAATCCTATCATTGCATTGGGAATATAACAAATAGAGTTTTGCGGCATAATTACAACTATGATATCAAGCAGAATATGCTGGCTTGAGTTTTGTTTTTTAGATTCACTCCATGTTATTTTATTTGGAACTTCGGAAAATTTTTGACCTCAATTTTGTAAGGAATTATATTTTATTGGTAGGGTACGAATTATTACATTTACAGCGCGATAATTCCAACACACACCAACGCTGTGTAATTACGAAGAATTTTAGTATTAGCACGGGAGACGGAGGCTGACTTGGTATGTTTATAACCTTTCAACGAAATCTATCTATATTTTACCTTTTTTATAACTTGTCTTGAAGGTAATGCAGACATTTTTCCCGACGTTTTCATAGAAAAAAACACGTATTTTCTGTCTAGCACTAATTTCCTCTTGCTTTTTTAGAATATAATTGTGTGACCCTTATGACACTATTTAGTATAAAATTATTTTGGGTTCAAACCAGGTTTAGCACAAACAAATATTGATCAAATTTTTTTTGAATTTTTAGGGCTTCCCTATCAAAAAACTCAGTGAAGAAGCGATAGGGTTGGTAACGTATTGTATATACATCTACAACAAATTGCAAACATACACTGCTAATCCATGCATATACAGACGATGAAATATGCTCATGCTACTCGAATCTCGAATATATAGCCTACACATATACGGCTCTATCAATATGTATACACAAAGAATTGAGTGATGTGCATACACATCCAATTGAATTATATGTTTTAATTAGAATAAACAAATACGGATCCATTCAATTTCTCCTTTTAAAATATGAATTACTAATATGCACTCGCCAAGTAATTTAATACGAGATAGCGATCCGAGACCGCCGACTTATTGATCTAGCGGCGTGTAACCAAATACCTAAACGCTCCACATCGCAGACAGAACATTGTTATGCACACAAATGTTCGCAGCGACGAAAGTTAGGGAATCCCCCAAAACAGAAACTGCGGTTTCTATTCCTTCGCTCTGACTCAATAGCGACACCGCGTGTTCCATAACTAACTGATCAATACCTCGCTAATTATACGACATAATTTATCCAAAATCAATAGGCTTCTGGTCCGAGATATGATGAATGCACGTGTGAAATTTGGAGCAGATTTAACCTCGCCTTCGTGAGATATCGCGTAACAAACGAAAGTGTCTAACAGAGAAACAAACAGACAAACGAGAATATTGGTCGGAGATAGAAGACTTATCGATCGAAGGTTAGGGGATCCCCCAAAACAGCGCTCTTACTCCATAGTGACACCGCGTGTCCCATCACTAATTAATTAATAACTCGCTAATTATACGACATAATTCATCGAAAATCAATAGGCTGATCTGATCCGAGCTATGATGAATGCACATGCAAAATTTGGAGCAGATTCAACCTCGCCTTCGTGAGATATCGCGTGCATCTAACAGACAGACAGACAAACAAACAGACAAATACCTATCAACATACTTACCGATCTTAAGGTCGATAAGTAACAAACAAACAGACAAATACCTTTCAACATTCTTACCAATCAAAATCGATGAGTAACAAGTTTAAAAGAGATATACTGTATGTATTAGATTATTGAGTCTTTTAAGAAGTCCGACGCTCACTATTATTTTCAATGGCTCTATTTGATTCACTAGTATGATTAGGATCAGTCTGGACTGAAATGAACCTTTTCCCCGAGCATCGATTTCCTTGTTTACCTCATGGCATTGGCCAATCAGCAAGATGCAAAAAGGACGTAGAAATGCTCCCTTTTCGCATCCGCTCAGACACTTTTCTCACTCCGACAGATTTCCAGGCGGTGTCATAAACATTACTTCGTTTTCGCGTTTTTGAACTCTATTCGTTAGTTTTCAGCTGTGTTTCGGAAATTTAAATATAAATTAGATAATTCAATGATCACTCTGTCTTCTTGGAAGTTTTAATTTAGTTGTAGTAATAATAAATTAGTGTAGAAATAGCTGTGATAGACTGGGCTAAAATTCGTTATTGATACTTTTAAAAAACAGATTGTTGTATGCAATCAATCATAATGCTGGTTCGAAACACATTATCCATTTTACAGGCGCCAACTCGCTAAACCCCTCTTAAAATGAGCCCCGAAAATGTTGCTATGGTAAAGTATAGGAGGAATTTTTTGCGAGTCAAAGGTCGGGGAAAGGTCCATAGCATGACTGCTGGAGTGTATACTTATTTATTTTATTAGTTTGATTTTTACCTAAAGTATTCCAATGAGCAGTTAGTTGCACACAATATTGGCTTATCATAATATTGGATGTTGAGTTATCACTCTTAGATTCGGGCCAAATTTTACTATAAACATTCGAATTAACATGCTATAATACACATAAACACATTTTTGCAATTTTGTCTTGTGAAAAAAACGGAATTCAAGGTCAAACAGAGATGATGCTTAATGTAACCCTGTTGGAATCAGCAATAGATAAACCTGAATAGATTTCGTTGAAATTTTGTGACTATTGTGGCGGCTTGTATTCAAGTTATTTGTAATTCGACAACACTAGAGAGCAATTTTTTTGCACTGTCGCGCTATAGCTTTAATTAGCACCTCTCCAGAAAAATATAATGATTAGAATATCGAGGTCGAAATAAAATAAACCACGAGGGTTCATATATGGCCTAATGGTTAGGCGTAAGACCGAACTGTCTCGGCATCTCAAATTAAACATCTATGGTTCAAATACCGTGTCCCTTGCCTCCAATTCAGACGCGCTCTTCTACGTCCACGTGATATGTGTCAATATATAGTACGACATACGAATCGTTTGACAACGCCTATTCCTTCTGACACCTAAACACATGTACACATCCATGATCATTCGTGGATATTTGAATCCACTGACAATTACATCTACATCTAGTGATATATGCATCCAGAACCATTGCACATATGGCTTAATCCAGGGTTGAGACTCGAAACATCACTTAAGAGAGTCCTTGGAAATTGGAAAAGTCGCTAAGATTATTTTGTTAAACGAGCGATTTCACAAATAATTGCTACTGTCTGCGTGACATGTTATATAGGCTTTACGTATTGTACCACAAGGACATCGAAAAGTAGTCTTTGTTTATTTCAGAAAAGTGCATCTGGTCATAAAGATGCCGTGACGTATTTAGTTATGCTGTTAGCTATAAAGTAAAGTGATAGGCCGAAACTAAAAATTCCATAATGCTCCATTTATTTTTTGCATCTTTGTTTACATGAAACTTGTTGCAAAAGAATTTGGTGTTCCTCGTGATGGTGAAAACTAAAAGGCTGATTGGTGCTTTGTGAAATTATATCAGCATATTATATTTTGTATTTCACCAATTCTTCTTTTTAATATGTTTTGACATATCAGAACTCCTGGTCGCCTTTTAGTGGTATTTCATTTCCTTCTGAAAATCATTGCTTTAATAGGCTATATTATTCATTTATGTTTTTATATTCAATTGGTCGTAGATAGAAATGAGTAAAATGTATAAATATATATATTTCTTTGATTTCGTGTGGTTTGCTTCTGAAATGCTTTGTGACTAATTAAACGGATCAACAGGATCAAAGTACACTGCAAGCGTGTAGCGTTTTTTGGTTTGTATGTTATGGTTTTGGTGAGTATACATGCATTCTGCAATATTGCTACCGTGATAAGCAGGCGTTATAAATCCTCTTTCGATTTAATTAAAAACAATTCGAATGAGTAGAGAAAAGGGCAATGTGTGAGTTTCACTTCCAAAACTCTTTACTGCCCTATCAGTGACAAACGTTCCCATTTCAAATATCGATGCTAGTCTATTTCTGAAGCATGTGAATGCTGATATTTGTGCCCGTTTGTCCAATAGGAACTCACTTTCAAGTCGAAATCGTATATTTGTTTGTATTTCACCTGCTGGGCAATTAGAAGAGCAGACAATTAGGGGAGAATTAATTTTTATTTTCTTATCGTCTTTCTATTTTCAGCAAGCTATCTCTAATTGAATAACCGATTAAAGTCTTATTTAGAAAACAAGTATCCATGTAACATATATTTCTGGCAGATGTTCTGATTTTGTACAATACAATGGTACTAGAAACATAAAATTGGATTCGTCTGCTTACTTCGCTTCGAATCATTCATTCGTAAAGTAATAAATCTGAACAAGATGCCATTATTGAATTCAAAGCAATATTAAAAATAATTATTTCCAGGTTGAGAATTTTATCAAAGTTATCTTAAGAATGGTATACGTATTGTACAAAATCAGGTGGTGCTATTTAGTAGTTGTTTGGTTTGCCATCTTCACAGGTGAATACTCATCATGCGCATATGGAATCGTGAACAACATAGTTGCCAGATACTTCAATGTTTCACCATCTTCAGTTGACTTTTTACCGAGTGCCACGTTTATGATTGGATCTTTTGTTCTAGTTATCATGGCTTTATTTCACAGTCATATCAGTGTTCGAATGCAATGTATCACTATGACACTTGGCGCACTTTTGGGCGCAATGACGGTGACAGTCGGATTTCTACAGAGGTATGGGAACGAATTTGAGTATATAATAGCTACTCTATAATTTGATCATCGCATAGTTTACAACGCAATACACTTTAAAAATTTGATTTTACCCTCCATCGATACATTTCGACGGTTATAGGAATGTTAAATATAATTGGCAATATTTTATGTGTTTCTATACAGCCAATTTATTTATGCAATATCGCACTTTTTGCATCGGAATTCATTATTTATATAATGTCACTCATAGTCTGTTTAGCTGAACACTAGTTTGACTAGCTTCTCGGGTAGACTAAATGTCCCGCTCATGCAGTGGGCAGACTAATATTTTTTATTAATATTATACAAAAGTGTTTATTTTTTACAGGCAGCCATTATCACTGATCGATTTACTAATCATTAGCGAGACAGCGAGAAACTCATTTTTCTTCTTTAGCTGGCATCAATAATATTCAAATGCAGAGAAGAATTTCCGATTCTATGATGATAATAATCATACGAGTTGAATATTACAAGCTCGAAATGAACAAGGTTTTCAACCTCATTGTCCGGTTTGTTGTTTATATAAATGGTAAATATACTGTATTACGATCTATTTCAGTGACTGTACTACTCGTATTGATGGACAATTTCTCGGAATTCAGCAGAATATCTTTTATCCTGTACACTGGCAGCAAACTGGTTTCTGAAGGAAGTCGGACGCATTGCGATCGAATCGTGAATCATGCTGGTCATGTTATCATCTTTACCTATCCTCTGCATTAATGACTATGGAATTCGAAGGAAGTTGATTCCATGCGTTCGTGCTTTTGCACGAGTTTTGATTATTAAGCGTTTCTGCTTATTTCCGTCATATTTGCTTGCTTATATGCAAAAGATCATCCACCCAAGTCCGCCGAGTGCATCTCAAGAAAAAATTTTGAACTCGTTAAATCAAAAAAAGACTGAAATGAATATGGAAAGTATTCTTGAAAGCTTGAAGAAAACTGCATCACATTACCGAAATATCAACTTTGTTTTGATAACGATTGTGTTTTCTCTTGACTCATCTTACTTTGCAATGACAAAAATTCTCATCACATCGTTAATGATGAAAACATTTCCAGATATACCAGAGTCACTCCCAGGAATAATCAGAATTGTTGGCAACATACTTGCTGTTTTCTTCTCTTTAGCTGCTGGGCCGCTGTTGGATAGATTAGGACGTTACAAATTATTCTGTGCTTTGCGTAAGTAAACCTTAAAGTGTGTTTGAAATTGGTACTACCTGACTTATGCTTGAACAGGTCCGGGCGCAATAAAAACTTATCAAAGATTTCAATGCATCAATCGCCGCAACGGTGTATAAATATATGTATATATATTAGGATATATATTAACTTATAAGGATAAAAAAAAATTTAAGTCATTTCGTATTAGTACGTCGTGTTAAAATCACCGCTAATTCATTTTCAGGGCAATGCTGGAACATTCGTTATTGTTAGTGTTCAATTAAAGCACTTCGGGTGAATGACAACGTGGCACAGTTCTTATTGCGAGCAACGCCAATTATATTATAATTAATATTCTAAATTTTTAAACCGCTTTTTTGTTTCAAGCTATTGCTGGACTTATACCAAGCTGCATTTCTATATTACTCGCACATCATTACAAGTGTCTCACAGCTCTCATATTTTTGTACCCGTTAACCATGGGACTGCGTGGATTTTCTGAGGTAACTCTTGTGGAATATTTGACGGAAGTTACGTATCCCGCAGAAAAAATCACATTGATGTGTGCTCATTATATACCTTCGCTCGTGTTCCAGAGTATTTTTATCGTGGTGGAAAGAGTTTTGATGGAGACTTACGATGAGACTATTGCAATATTGGTACCACTAACTGCATCCGTGATTTCTCTTCCCATGCTTATGGCAGTAACTTCAATATACCGCAGGTCGGACGTTGACAATTCTGAGGAGACTACTCTTGTAACCAATCGGACTAGGAAGTGATGTATTGAACAACAATAATGAGAACATGAAAATAAGTGCGCAACTGTCATCAAAACCGAAGCATCAACTATATCTGAAGCAAAAATATATCAAGATTGAATAGAATATTGCGAATCTTTAAGAAAAATTTTAATATTCATTAAAAGAAATAATATATCCACACTAAGCAAAGTTGGTAGGTATATATATATATATGTATGGCCGCTATTTACGAGATTTATTCCCACGAAATATGTAGAACGATGTTTTGCATGGACATTAGGAGCCGTGTATCCCGAGGAAAATATTTGAATTAGTCATAGTCGTAATCAAGGCGATGCTGTTTCATCCAAGTGCATGTATTTGAAAAAATTATTTGGTTAACCTTCCTCATACCCGATATAAACTGTTAAACGGAAAAGAGCACGCTGTCTTATCGATTTTCTGGTCCCTGGTTGGTATAACTATGTAAATCCTATTTTTATCCCTCTACGATGATCTTATGAGTCGATTTTATTACTTTGGGACAATTTTGCGTTGAAGTTGTTAAAATGATGATTGTATTTTCAAGCATATACTTGATCACAAACTATAGGTTACTCAAGAAATGCACCGAGGGAGTATAAGCTACGATAAAACCGACCCTTGTTTTCCTGTTTCACCAAAGCTGATATTGGATCAATTCTCCGATTTGAGCTTTAAATTTTTAACTTACTGTAGAAGGTGTTTTGAAGTAAAACTACGGACCAACTTTGCTGACCTGTTTTTCCCTGGTCGGCTTAGCGCGAACATTTTTGTTGTTCCGAAATACAAATAAAGTTAGTATCGAAATCATATTCATAAAGTAAAAACTATAAAATAACTCAGATAAAAACAACAAATGATATACAATATTCAATAAAATCAGAAAGTATAGAAAATGAATATCGTAATGAGAAAAGTCACAGTAAGTTCAAAACTTTGGTTGAGAGTTTTGCAGACAGTGCGCACCACGACATCGCCACTTTATACATACGGAAAAGATAGGTCCAGACAGGTATCTTGCTTGCAATCCAAACCGTACAATCCAAAAGATGAAAAACATAATATAATGTTTGAATTTTTTTTACAAACAAAGCACTTATAAGGTTCTTGGTGCGTCAATGTCTTATTGAAATTGCTCGGCCAGCACTCTTTCACTAAACCTTTTAACATATATATCACAAAAATAGGATCTGATCGTTTTAGATAATTCCAAAACCGGGACAAAGCATTTAGAATCTGGAAACTACACGGTGAGCATCGGTGGACAATGGTCCAGCAGAACAAAAAAGACCGGTCGACAAATTTGCCCAAATCGCATACCAGTCTAAACTATAATGAGTCAAATGTATATGAAATATATAAATCTTATACCGCCATGTTTGCAACATAAATAATTTTATGGCAGTTAGGACATTCGTGATAAATATTGCAGTATTTACTTGGGCAAAGTAAATTAAAGCCAGTAAATCTTCCACATGGACTGCATATGAGCATTCTCAAAATCCGAGCTAACGTCCCAGTACCAAGCCTTACAACAGTGGAAATTTGCTCATTGCATAGCGGGCATATGCAATTGACTGGTTCTCTTTTGTTAGCCTTATTTCCACTGATGACATCTTTAGATAAATCTGCTGTGGAGGAGAGTCTCATATATCTTCCGCGTCCAGTATTTGAAATATCCGCACTTCTTTTGGATGTATTTTCCTTTTGCTCATCTTCAATCAATTCAGTATAGGGTTTTTCGCAATTTTGATTGCCATGCATATTTTATTATGACGTCCAATTTAATGATAAAACTTGTGAAAAATATAGAACCGTAAATATCTAGAAATTAAATTAAATATTTATGTACATTATTCACAAGCAACACTTCCGCCGACATCACAGCTTAAAATATCACCAAAATTCTCCATGATACTTTCAATTATTTTGTCACCCTACCAATATTATATGAACTATTTGGTTTGCTTCCTTTGATCAAAAAAAAATACACAACCTGCCTGATTTCAGGTTTATTGGAATCATCCATTAAATATATATGTACTTTTTAAGTAATCCTCTCCCCCATTTATTAACCTTAATTGTGATTAATTCGTATCAAACCATTCCTATTTATTAGAATTTAAAAATCTGATTAGGTGAAAAAACTTTTTCTCCAACTGACCTTCTAGCCTAGTTAATATAGAAAGTCTTTGTGATATTTTCAAACATCGTATTAACACTGTTTATCCAACCTCTTTTCATCCGCGATTACCTTTCAGAGTTTGAATTAGAACTAATCCGCTTGAATTGAACGGATTAGAAATCGGATTGAAATACATATCACTCCTGGATCTACACACAACTAGAAAAACAAATTTTCACCACTTTGCACAATGGGTAATAGTAGTCTCAATAAGAAATTCATTCAAATTCTGGTACGCTGCCTATGGTGAGGTGAGTTCTGATGACTTAGAATAATATGAATGACTGTAGCAGTTTATCCAAACATGCATCGGGTAAAAAAAATTATTTTTGCAACTTATTGGCGCCAATATAATCATTGTTTACAATTCGGCAGTGTACTCAAATGAGCAATCATTTGAATTGTTTCCTACACACACCGTACACCATGTATTTATCCATTCATTGGAACTGGTTCGTTGTGCAGCACAAATTATAAAGAACAAACACTAATCACCGGTTATAATGGTCAGACGGTAACTTACGTAATGACATACTTAATCGATTTGTGTTCAGTGTCCGTATACTCCAGACAATTCACCAATGGAATGCGCAAATTGAAACCATTCTCATAATGGTATATTTATACCTTATCGTGAGTAACAACACTGTCTATAAGTAAAAATCAATTTGTAAGTATTAAAAAGATAGCCTCATCCACCTCATAAACAAAAAGCTGACGATTTCGCCGAAGTAGTTATTTGTGAATGAAAATGAAATGACGAAACTTTCCGAATCGGCTATATTTCGACAAATTACAACATTGCACGAGTGCGTATTTAGTATACGGTATACATCTAGGCATTCCCGAAAAACATTTTACCATCAATAGTCTAGTTCTCTCGATCATTGCATGTACAATGACAAGTAAATTTTTCTATTGAAATTATAAATTTTTAACTTAACTATAAAAAACTTGACGCAACTAAATATTGCTTTAAACATTCTACGGGAAGTGTGTGTGAGTCAGAATAGTTATTCTCATGACCGGAAAGTTTAGTGGTTTAATTGATAACTACGGTAGCGAACCTTTGGACCGTTAGATTATGACGTCACATACAAATCATCGTATCGCACCTCAATCACTCTCATGTGATCAGAAGAATTTACTATCACCACGTGGTTACAACTACAACACAAAGTCTAAAACCAGTAGGACTTCTATTGATTTTACAACAGTTCCTTAAAATTTTCAGCTCCTTTTGATGGATGTATCATAAAATGGAGTCAGTTTACGACGTTATTCAAAAAGTAAGCGCGCAAACTATTCACAGTCCAAAACCCTTGGTTTCTGTTATTTCCAAAATGTCGCTTTCCCTTTGGGCCCATTGTGCTATCTATTTTTCTTCAAAGATCATAAGCGCGTCTCTTAGAATAGGTTGACATCGGTGGGCCTATTTCCGATGGTGGGGCTCGGGTTACAGCGACATCAGCCCCCGGTGAATATGGGTCCGCATTAAACACATGTTGAATTAGATATAAAGTAAAAGGTGTTTGGCATTTGAATAGTGTAAGCTTTTCCAATAAGTTTCTATAAATCTTTTTCAAACACCATTTGAATTTTGAGTGTTTTTCTTCTGCCCATAGTTGCTTTTTCATATATGTCACACTGACATTAGTACTGAAACTATATTCTGGTATCTAACTGCTTCTAGAAAACTCTGTTATCACGTGAAGATGGACTGGACTCTACTAACCGAAAGCGAGCAAAACCATCTTGATCAGCACCACAAATTTGACTCCGCGTAAGATTACGCACCGGACAGCTGGTTTACTTAAATACTGCAAAGAATTAATAGTAATTTTATTGGAATGTATAGGTATTGATGATCACAAGTGTAATGCGTTTCATGGCGTGAAGATTGGTATGTTGGCAACCCTATGTGAGGTCAATTGCGTATAACTTCACGCTCGAAAAGTACTCCGTAAATTTTAATATTTATATGTATTTATTATATGTTCAGATTGTTTTTATTGAGGCGATACTCTGGTACAAGTCGTCTGGTATATATTCTGGAGATGCAGACATGATCATATTTGGTCAGTATCAATTTCAATTATGCTAATTCAAAATAAGATTTCATTGTGTCACAATAAAATTCCGATGACTAAAGGACTATAGCGCAGTGTTATATTATTAAGCATAATTGAAAATCAGTTATGAAAATATGGGTAAATATGCGTAACAGCAATACGTGAATGTATCGTTAGTTTAGGAATGCCTAAAAATCGGTAATGGTATTTTATTTTTGTTCCCCATGAATTCATATGACTAAGTACATTTGGGAACCCATCCCCTTCTGAATATTCAAACATTATTGTGATGAAATTGAAACTTTATCGTGAAAATTCTCAGCTTCTATGACAATTATCCAACTAAAACCCTCAAACCCTTCATCGCCGCCAACAGAGACCGAACGAATTGTTGGCACAGTTTCTCAGTTTTTTTCTCAATATTAAACCTATTCAAAACTCGACTGTTTGAAATTTATTATCAACGGTTTAAACCATTTAATTAACAAGAAATATTGAAAAAAAACTATATCAAGCAAAAAAATCTCATGGGGTAGTGTCTAACGTCCGATATCAGATATGAAGGAAATATATAGATGGATATATATATATATATATGGATGGATCATCTGGTTTGGAATATCTCCGTGAGGGAGTATCCAAATGTCAATCATATATATATAAATTTTAGTAAATACACAGTTATTTCTGATAACAAACATGTTATTAACATGGCTCAAATGGGCATAGATAAATTTGACTTGTTTACACAATATTTTACTCGACATTACGTAACAGTATTCGTATTGCAGTCATGTCTGTTTTTATTTGTGTGGGTAGAAAAAACCTCTGTCATCAGATCAAGTTAACAATCTGCTACTAATGTGTCAATTATGCCGAAGACGTCATTGTTGCTGATCGAAATCGTCCTTATTGGGATCTGCATTGCTTTAATAAATAACGCCAAATCATTGTCTTGTTTCTTACTGTCTTGGAACACAAAACTCAACTCTAATATTCATTGAAATGCAGAATAGATATGTGATAGGATATAACGGTAATAACTTGCCAAAATTTATACTTTGTTGCCATTAGATCTTACTATGGTTCAGTTTTATCGATGTTCTGTGAAAGGCCCGCTGTCAGTCGTTTATAATTTAAGATCACGTTTCAACAGTTGATACATAGAAACAAAATAGGTGTATTCAAATGCGGTATTCAAAACTGAAGACGACATTCATCTAAATGACGTCATGTTCTATAACGCATCAGCTACATTTTGGTTTAAAAGTGATTTACGAACTCCCTGCGATTTTCTTATTGTATTGAGATTTAGTGGATGAATTTTATATTTTAGAATAACACTGCTTGACACAGTGTTTTTGTTCCTGGCTTCTAATTATTATTATTTTGTAATTAGTTTCCTCAAAACTGAAGAAAATGACTTTAATTTCTTTTTAATTGTGGCTTTGTGAAAATCGGGGGGTTACCCAAAATCGGAAAATTGTGATATAAAACAGCGTAAAACTTATATTATAACATATTGTTAGTGTTTTTGGTGTTCTGGAGATGTGTTCTTAGTTTTCTATGTAAGAAGTCTTGGAAAAATTAATACAAACCCGTTTTAAATACCTTAATGACTTTTCAGCGACTAAAAAACGATCATAAAAATCTTTTTTTTTTAATTTTCGGCGCTCCAGAAGTATGTGTACCAATATGGAGTTAAATAATTGGAGGTAAATTTGTTCGCCTACCTTACATCAAGTTGTGTAAAGGGACGGAAGCCTATGGGCAAGGAGTATATTTACTTGGCTAACACAAACAGTCCCCGAACTCGTAATAGAACTAAAATAAGGAAAATCGGAATAAAATTATGGCCTAACCCTATTCTGGTACACATACTACGAGAGTATCGAATTTACAACTATAGTACAAGTCTACTTCAATAATAGGCTCCCATATGCGGTCACCCATCCATCGTTCACTCATTGTACTGCCATTGGTAACAAACGTATACAAACCGATTACGCTTCGATAGTGCGTATTAAGAGCAAATTTTACATGTAACGTTGACATCCATGTTTAGCAGGGACAGTTGTAGGTTCCATTTATTGTCGCGTTTACTGTTGACAAATTCATTTTTTTTAGTCATATGAGCCTGTTGTAGTATGAAACTGTGTGTCTCGTCTCTACTATCCTCGTGGCAACATAAACATGAAGGTTCTGTCGGGTCACTTACTTTATAGACCGATCAGGAATTCTACCATTCAAAATCTCCGATTTAGATATATATTTCAGTATTCAGACTGAATCACGCTTAAAACAATATCGGTATACAATCTCACACCCATCAGTGCATATTAGCAACCTATTAATAACCCCATTATTTTTTACTAGCAGTTTATAAAACTGAAGTTTCTTTTTTGATTCAAATTAGAACTTAAAAAACAATTCCTCCATTTTGAATGGTGCAGAAATTCTCGCACAAATAATATTGCTATTTATTGTAAAATTTCAAATAAATTGGAGCAGATTTTGTAGAGAAATGTAAGTTAACAGTCAAAAAAATACAACACAGAAAGATATATTGCTACTAAACGGATTGTTTGTCTAGCCTACAATGGAAATATCCGATAAAGGTAGATATGACTAAATAAATTGTCATACATATATTTGGGACGATTTTACAAAACTGAGCCTGAGTAAAATATTTTCCTGCAGTCAGTTTATACTGCAACACGCAATATCTAATTCTAATAAAAAAGAAATATTGAAAATGAAGGGTGGGTTTTCAATGTAGATGAACCACTAAATACATATTTGCCATCTCATATGCAAAAATACTGTACCTTGTTTTTACTCAAGAAAATAAGATTCTTCATATTTTAAGCTCCCCAGTAATAAAAGTGTTTCATTAAATTTAACTGTTTCACAATATTATTTTGATTTGTAGTTCGTCTTGTGAAATATGTATGTGGCAAAGTTTGCGGCCCGCCGGGCCTTTGGATTTATGCTTGCGGCCCTCGGGGTAATTTGAGTTGTGCAGGCCTGTTCTAGACAATGAAAAACAATGAACCAATATAGAATAGTCTAATCCAAATTTTTGTAAAAGCCCGAAGGACATGAATCTAAGATTACATTTGAATTAAAATTTATTTTGACTACAATCTTAGCAGATACTAAGCAGTTGAGAAATAATGTTTTGAACTTTGTATAAGGAATAACAGTAGAACAATTCATTCCAACGCTTGCACAAATTGTTGTGTAGAAGTTGAAGACGTTCTGAAAAATCAACGAAAAGCACCAAACGTACAGAGAGCAAATGAGAAAATAAGCTTTATCGAAGTCTCGCACTGGAGACGATGCTCGATAATTTTAGGCTTCCTTATGGATACAACTCTTAGACGGTGCAGAAGAATGTGTAACACGTAACTTCAAAGATATGATTTTAACGTTTGCTAGTGAAAAATATCTAATTACGTTACAAAAAGACAGCCAAAACACCTGAAGTAATTATATACGCAAATTTTGTCCGGGATTTACTAAATTTCATCCATTACTGTCGCAGTAACTATGAGGACGTGGTTATCATGAGATCGTACGGCGAATAAATGTTCAGTTTGCTTCACGTTTGCCTCTCTTTTCCAGGGCACACTTTTTACACGAAAACCTGCCTTCATTTTTTTGTCCATATTGTCAACAATGCTAATAGACTAAATCTCAAAATGTAGTTACTGAAAATATTTTAATACACAATAAGTTATTTAAACAAACGAATAAAAGGCTGTTGTTCGTTGTCCGCAAAACTATCGGGGAGTAACATGCATGTAGAAAAAAAATGTCACAATTTGCCACGTAATTGCAACTCCAACCAGCAATAGCCTTCATCACGAAGGCTAATTTTGAAGGAATATATTTTGTATCAAAAAAAATATTCAATGATAAAATCTCGCCCTCATAACCAAAACGACATGCTGTTGCAGTTTGGAAGTTTTGAAATTTCATGTTTTTTCTCCTATGTCGATTCTGACTTAAGAGGGCATTTTCAGTAACAAATTACACATCAATTTTGTTCCCAACAACTCAAATTGTGTGATGCAGAGTGTATATAATTATCAATAATGAAATCTCGCCCCTCTTAATCGTAAACGACATGCTGTTGTAGTTTGAAATTTAGGAATATTTCATATTTTTGACCATGTCAATTCAAACCAAATATAGGGCATTTCCAGTAAAGGATTACACTCTCCTAAACATTTATAGCCAAACACTAAACATTTAGGTGCTCATGATACAGCTATTATTGAATAGTTCCAATTATGTCACAATAGTATTTAAACTACTGTTTAAGTCGGTACAATGATCCCCGGTATACTCCTTTAAAGAGTATCTTTGTGATGTTACCATTGGTACAATCGGTTTCTATGCTACCAACTCACAGTGGCGTATAACAAACTCCATTGAATATCAGGCCATACGGTTTTTACACTAGCAGAAAACTTTTCCAACAACTCTCCGCCATTGCAGAAATATTTTGGACGCGCCATAGCATTTATTTTGAAAATGGGACCTGTTATTGTGTGAAATGAATCCAATTCAGCATCTTCCGATTAGCATCGATGAATATTTGTTCATTGTTCTCCAGAATCGATGAAGGACGCTAATCCTAACTATTTATTCTCTTGGCAACTGCGATCACGTCGTGGTTAATTAAGCGAATCCAAAAGTATCCATCGCCTTAGATTGCTGTATGAAAAACATACAACTGAAATTCTCTAATTATCATCGACTCGATGAAAACTTCAATTCAGTACTGGAGATGGTAATTTGGCCACTGCTTTGTCTGCTTGAGCTTATTCAAAATAGAAATATTAATACTTGGTTCAAAAGTAGCTCAATGCAGCGAAATCTTTCTCAGTTACGGAATGTGACTTCACGCGGGTCAACAAAAATGCTACGCCAGAGAAGTCTATTTTCAAAAAGTTCTGTTTCGCGGGTCTTTCTTGCAAGGAGAAAGCCCTAAGCTCGTCGGTGGTCGCTTCTATTAGTACTCTTTCCAATTTGAGGGCTCAAAACCTGGACTTGAACAAACTCGAATGAAAAATGCAACTGGATCAGATTTTACACAACACCGCGTAGTGAGAGCTCACTCTCTGAAGAAATCCGCGAGATGTCCCAACACGTGAATAAAATTAGGGGAAATTACCATTCAAGATGCTTAAACTTTTCCTGCGTTTAAAAAAGAAATAGTTCCGACACATTTTAGGGCAATTCGGAAAATATAATAAATAATGCTTTATTGTAAATCACAAACGTTTCACTTTCTGCTACGCTAGAAAACTAGAATAATGATTTTTAAACCCATATAAATTTGAAGCACATTGTCACTTGAAGAATGGTTGGAAACATGAGGGTGCGACGTGTGACCGATATATTCCAAAATGTTCGATACGAAATGTTTCGAGTAGCAATTGCTACATTGCTAATAGCGCATTTGTTAATTAGTCTCACACGAAATATACAAATTAATTTCTAGGTCTTGTCATACTTAAGTTCAAAATCAATTCTAGATTCTTTTGAAGACGCCAACGGTAGTTTGACAATTTGGACAAGTATGTCGAATGTTTTTGCATCGGTCGAGACAAAAAGGTAGTAAGCATAGAAAGCATGTAGAGCAACCACATATGAACAGAAGGGTACACATCAGCCAGGTGAAAACTCCCACCTCTGCTTCTACTGTCGTAAATACAGTTTTCCTGCAGTTATTGCACTTGCATCGCACAGATGATTCTCTGCCAAAAATGACATAAGTTTATTTAAATAAGGGTACACTATCTTTTTGAATTGAAACAAAAATGAAGTCGCCACCTATGCAAAATGTATTGAAGCTGTAAGATTTCAGGCAAACTCTGGAGTCATCTGTGCTAAGTTAGAAGTAATACAGGCATTTATTATACAATTTTACGTTTGTTAAAGTAGCCCAATTGCGTAATTTACCTGAATGTAGGACTGCCAATAACGTCATCATTGTTATTATTTTGACCTGGTTGATTCAAAACCACGGTTGTACTCTGTTGTTGCTGTTGTTGTGGTGGAGCCTGTTGTACTACCGGTGGTGGGCAGTACATTACTGGTGCAGGCTGAGCCATAGGCATTGCAATTTGTGGCTGTGGGGCATATGCTGGAGGTGCAGTTGGTTGTTGATACATTGCTATGTTCGAAGCGGTAATACCCTTCTTATAGAAAAAACCTGAATAATGTTTCAAATCTAAAATCCAACACAACCATTTGGTTATATACAATCACAATGTATCGCTTTACTGTTCCTAATTTTAGATAGAGCTTTTGATATACAAGTCAACAAGCTTTAACTTGTCGATATTACACGCCATGACTTACGATTACGATTTAATACTATATCATACTAGGACATGCGTAATTTGACCAATGTTATAGATAAATGTTTAATATTAAACGGAGCTGCTGTTTAGAAACAATGCATTTGTCGAACATGATAACATACTGATAACTTGAAGGTAAAACGGTTTCATATTCTCGAGCAATCCCTTCCGTAACACTGCTCAATTGACGAGAGAGCGATTAGTTCCATTTGCTGCTGTTATCGGTTTATAAACAAAAAATCCAATATATAGATAAATAAGGAACCATAATTCCATAAAAATGGCAAGTTCTATAATCAATTACTGCTTAAGACGGTTTATACTGATATTTAGTCTTTCAACTGTGTTATACAGTGGTTCGTATGGCCAACAGGGAAACAACTCTAACCACCGTCTCTATTTTTCCATCCTCGTCCTGGTCGTGAAGTAAGCTACATCTAATCTACCTATCACGAACAACACCCAACACGGAATTGCTTTGACATAGCTTGTGTTTCGTTTTTAGAGTTAAATTACGTGATTAAATAATTAATCAATTAGCTGTTGATGTCTTTTTTACTATCCTAAATGATGACCCACTCTGGTCTGTTTTTCCTAAATAGTAGTAATTATAGGACTCTATACATGCAATATAAATGCTTAGAACATTGTGGGACCACTTTTGAGCAGAATATTTCAGCTTACATGTTTTTCATTTGAATGGTGAAAGCTATCTAAATTATCCAAATATATACCTCATATCGAAAACTTTTTTTCAGTGGAATCGTAAATTTTGATTTATGATATAAAAACCATAATAAACTCTCAGCCTGCACATTTCGACGTGAAATATAGGTTCTATAACTATATCAATGTTACCCAGAGTTTTTGCAGATGGACTGCAGGATTATTCATAATCTCTTCGGATTCTGTTAAATTCTTTGAGAAGCGTTGTAAATAGACCATGTTAAGCCACGATTTTCAATAAAACCCATGCTCTATACCATGGCTACTCAACTGGCGGACCGCGGTCCAAATCCGGACCTTTCGACACCCCAATTCGGACCGAGTCTGCTCATTTATTTTGGCAGCACAATTATTGTTTTATAGTGTTAGATGATTTTGATACTATTTACATTTTTCACTGAACCAACGACGAAAAAATTGGTTACCTCATACCAATATGTTTCTGGAGTATCAGTGTACTTGTCAACTTCTGTACCATTGGCTAATCAGCTATATTTAAAGGTGTCGTAATAATTACATTTTTCGCAGCCGACCAGATGCATTTTCACCTATGTTGACTGTCAGGAACGGCTTACGGAGCCTCTACTTTTTGTTTTACATTCTCATTGCCAGCTTTTAGTTGAGGCTTAGGTATAAATCAAATTATGTGATAGTCAGTATTATTACCATGGGCTTTATTTGATTGCAGTGATAAACAATTAGCATTGAACATTCTGCGTTAGTCTGCTATCAGAGTTTTTGAACGCCAAGTCGATAAATCAGGCGCACCAACTCAGATTACTGCGTTTATATCACCTGTTTATCCCTAGATTTTCACATTGCAACTCAGGTTCTTAATAGGTATGGCGCGCCACCTTTATCGTTTGCACCAACTCTCTTAAGCCCGGTGGAAGTCGGCATATTCAATCTAAATGTAAATGTAAATGGCATATTCAATCTAAAACGCAATTACGAAATCAAGCATGGTGTTTCGTTTTTATAATGAAATAAATTTTCTGAAATGTCCGGACCCCAGTGATTTTAAAGTTCTGTAAACGGACCTTTAGTGAAAATAGTTGAGTAGCCCTGCTCTACACCACAATTTTTATAACACCATTCGTGGAAATCACGCGCGGTCCGGGCTCCATGGTGAATAAATAATGTAATGGTAGCCCGTAAATATCCGTAAAAATCTAATATGTTAATTCAGAGGCACGGACAGTATGTATCTTTTCCTAACCACAAAAAATACGATTGCAACGCATCAGACTGACGACCAAATAGATGAGATTACACTGACTAACCACGTCGGTAATATTCTGAGCACCAGTAAACAAAAACTTTTATTTAAATCTAGCACCACATATAATGCACGAGCACCATAACCGAAGTATTCAAAATATAAAGAAAAATGATTTCAAGTTACAAAGTGATATGAAACAATATTTTGAACCAGCAATTTTGAATCCTAAAGAAATTTTGGTTAAATTAGAACAAAAACTTGAAGTTCAAAGAGGAAAATGGTCAAAAAATTCAGAAATCGGCGCACTTATCGTCATTCAATGACATATAGACTTGCAATGTGTTTTATATTCCATGATAAGGTTGCAACGCTGTAGAACCAATGTAAAGAACCATAAAAGAACAAAATCTACTAATACAACACAAAGCGTCTATTTTCAGTCCTAGAAATGGCTGGATTTACTTTAACCAAAGTCTAGTGGTCTAGTGAAATTACTGCTTTTCAATCTTTTAAACAGTGGAAAGCCCGGAAAAGTAGACTAAACATTCAACAGATTTTGCTTAGCTTCAAAAATGCTTATATCAAAAAATGTATGTATAAACATCATATACAACAAGTAAACGCGATTAACCCAGGTTGGAAGTGTCACGGAGGTTGTTTGTTCTTAGTTTCTTCATTTATTTCAATTACTTGATTCCCAGTACTGATGAATTTCAATCAAGAAGATATAATGTTTCATACTCGTTATCAGCAGCAACTCTCTTTCTTGTGCGTCCCCAGTTTCACTCCACAGTTAGGACAATAATGTTTTACATCGTAGTTTTCATCCATAAACCAGCAACACAGGCAGAATATTCCGCAACAAATGAATGTTATTAGACTCAGTGTGATTAGGTAACATCCGGGACTAAAAATCGTAAGCGTTTCGATATCGCAATGGCAATGGGGGCAAACACAAAGTACTGGTTGTTGCGCGTAATGATATAGGTCTACTTCTGGAGGTGGTCTTTGCACGATTGCCTCTTGCCTTCGTTCGTATTTGAAATCATAACCCTCTCTGTACAACATGTTGGTCGCTGGAGGTCGGTTAAATTCGTCATACCTAGGTGGTTGAGTTGAGTTAATCACGTTCTTCGAGTAGTGAGTGGTAGTTGTTACGTATTTGTAATCGGTCTCTGTCGCGTCTGACAGAGATGCTTCTGACGAGTCCTCGTCGCTGTCTGTTGATGTCTCATCCGAGGATTCTTGCTTTTCATCATCATTTTCATCTGATTCATTTTCATCTTCACTTTTTGACGAGTCATCATCACTATCTGTTAATGTCTCATCCGAGGATTGCAGCTGTCCATCATCATTATCATTCTTTACAGGTGTATTGTTATCCAATGATGACACTTCAACATGGCACACTTGTGTATCCAAGCAGTCATTGGTAAATGCGTAGCGGTCTTCCATGCTAACTACTTCATTGTCCAGTTCTAAAGTTGCGCTGGATTCGTTCTCAAATTCGACTATTTCTTTTCCGCTGTTGGATTTTGTGATTCTTTCGTTGCAGGCGAGATTGACTTGCGAACCTTCTTCACAAGAAATATCCCCAGAAAATGCTTCATTCAAAAACGCCGCATGCGTTTCCACATTCTCGTTTGTCATTTCAATATTTCTTACAGGTTGTTGACTAGACATTCTATCGGTAACTAAGTTCTAAGTTCTCAGTCAGTATAGTCTAATAGGAACACTCAAAGTATGTAATATATTATTCGATACGTATAAATGATATGTAAATGTTCAAATCATCTTTTAAAAAAAACATCTGGGCAACATGATGCATGAGTATTTGTAAAATTAAAGGTGAGTACTATTACAAACGAAATTTCCCTAAGTTTATAGCTTAGTTTTGACGCTCCGGGCAATGGCATGGGAACCTCAGATATGTCATCGGAAAATATCCACTTTTATACATTTGCTTCAGATTAATGAACACGCATCAACGTAGAAATGAAATGAATGCAACAGCAAATCTATATACAATTTCGTGTTAGAAAATATAACAATTAAAGAAATAACAACTGTCCAAATTAGTTTGACAAGATTGAAATTACAGCAAGCTGTTCTTCCTACGAAAAGTAACGCTGTGTTAGTATTTCAGATATTTTCTAAAGCTTATATATTCATAGTTCTTTTTTTTACATTCTCCATAGTGACAAATGAGGAATAGGATTGACTCAATAGCGTTATATATCAGTTTATTGGAAAATGTTACAGACACACAAAATGTCGTATTGCAAACGCAAGACTGCTTTACACTTTTATTTTACTTCTTTCCATTTTTACATACGCCGAGGTTTTATTGCGTGCATATTAACAAAAGCTAAATAGGTATAATTTGTTTGTAAATGATTCCCTTTGCTGATTTTACTTTGTGGACGACGCAGTAACATCTAACATAGGTCTCCTTCTTGCTCGTAGGTTCCGAGATTTGCATTGCAATTCGAACAACGGTGTTTAACGTCATAGTTGTCTGCCATACACCAGAGTACCAGACAGCACAAGCCAACAAATAAGAAACAGATTGAGCTCATGCGACAAAGATAACTTCCTGGCTCCAAGGACGTTTTCGTCTCTACATCGTGATTGCAATACCCACATATCAATCGCATCGGTTTGTTTGATAATTTAATAACTTGTCGGTTTGGTGAGTTGGCAAGAACTATAGGCTGAAATGTAATTGGCCTTTGTGGAAATTGTTGCGCATGATTGATGTTTCCACTAACCGTTGCAATCCTGCTTTCTGTGCCATAAAACGACTGATTATATCCACAACCTTCCTCTAAATTCACAACGACTCCATTATTATCATATGGTGCTGATTCGTATCGATGTAAAACTTCTTTTTGCATTACAACTGAATTACTAGCACAAGCATCAAATGGTATTTGAAATTTCACCAACACAGCTCCCAGTCGTTTCTCCGATCTCACCCTTTGATGCTGAACCAGATTGCCCTTCAATATCTGCAGATGTAAAGGAATTTCCAGTAGCATCTGAATCTTTCGATACATTATCGTGGGCAATACATTTATTTCCGGTTCCATCAAAACTTTTGACTTCCGCAGACGTCAGTTCGTCATTTCTACGTTCGTCATTTTTACATAACAAATAATTTCATCCCGGTTGAAACACGAATTACAACGGAGATATAATATATCATATCAAACTTGGAAACCTTTAATAAACTAAAACTCAAAAACGCGTGTATATATGGTATAAATATATATCTGCAGTCTGTAGAAACTCTCTCATGAATACGTTTTTCAAAATACGGCATTTTCCGCAATTTTAAGGTCTATCTTTTCGTCCAAAATTAACTTGTGTATGACCTTATATCAAATGAAAAAATTTCCCTGTGTCGAGAATTTATTTTTCTCGCCTCGGGATATTTTTTGTATAACGTGAAATACCATCATGTTTCATGCGCCGCCTTATCTTGATTTTGTTATATTGTAAACTTAGCAGAATGTTAAAATGGTGGAAACAGACATTATGACTAGCATTTCAATATATTTTCGACTTCTCGATTTATATTTTTGTTGTAATAACGCAACGTACTGATATATCACCACATTGTGTTTTTTATTTGAGAAAATATTTACAATAGCAGGCATAAAAAGTTTGACTTCACGTTTCAAAAATCATCAAAATTGTGAAAAATACACGTCTCTCGTCCATGTCCAACTAAAGTTTCCCAGAATATATAAATCTAACGTTTGATACATGTTGCAATTTAAGAGATGGTTCATTTGAAGTTAAGTTGTTGTTAGATGTTTGAAGCAGTGTAGTAAACAGATTTTGTTGGTTCTGTAAATACATTAGGTTTATTTCATTTCCCACGATAAATATTCTAATTATGATAAGAATTAAGAGAGAAACAGTCATTACTTATCGATCTTAAGATCGGTAAGTATGTTGCTGGGTATTTGTCTGTCGGTATGTCTGTTAGTTTGTCTGTTAGATGAACGATATCTTAAGAAGGCGAGGTTGAATCTGCTACAAATTTTGCATGTGCATGCATCATATCTCGAACCAGAAACTTAATAATTTTGGGATGAATTATGTCGTATAATTAGCGAGATATTAATTAATTAGTGATGGGACACGCGGTGTCACTATAGAGTCATAAATCGAAACCGCAGTTTCGATCTATAAGCCTTTGGTCTCCGACCGATATTCTCGTTACGTTATCATTGAGTTGTTTCCATTCAGTTCAGTTGTTCATATATTATTCTTTAATTTCTGAACAGATAATACACTAAAATAAATTCTCAAATTCGACTATTTCTTCTCCGCTGTTTGAATTTGTGATTCTTTCGTTGCAGGCGAGATTGACTTGCGAACCTTCTTCACAAGAAATATCCCCAGAAAATGCTTCATTCAAAAACGCCGCATGCGTTTCCACATTCTCGTTCGTCATTTCATTATTTCTTACAGGTTGTTGACTAGACATTCTATCGGAAACTAAGTTCTAAGTTCTCAGTCAGTATAGTCTAATAGGAACACTCAAAGTATGTAAAATATCATTCGATACGTATAAATGATATGTAATTGTTCAAATCATGTTTTAAAAAAACCATCTGGGCAACATAATGCATGAGTATTTGTAAAATTAAAGTTGAGTACTATTACAAACGAAATTTCCCTAAGTTTATAGCTTAGTTTTGACGCTCCGGGCAATGGCATGGGAACCTCAGATATGTCATCGGAAAATATCCACCTTAGTTTATAGCTTAGTTTTGACGCTCCGGGCAATGGCATGGGAACCTCAGATATGTCATCGGAAAATATCCACTTTTATAGAGTTGCTTCAGATTAATAAACACGCATCAATGTAAATATGAAATGAATGCAACAGCAAATCTATATACAATTTCGTGTTAGAAAATATAACAATTAAAGAAATAACAACTGTCCAAATTAGTTTGACAAGATTGAAATTACAGCAAGCTGTTCTTCCTACGAAAAGTAACGTTGTGTTAGTATTCCAGATATTTTCTAAAGCTTATATGATCATAGTTTTTATATTTACATTCTCCATAGTGACAAATGAGGAATACGATTGACTCAATAGCGTTATATATCAGTTTTTTGGAAAATGTTACAGACTTACTAAATGTCGTATTGCAAAGGCAAGACTGCTTTACACTTTTATTTTACTTCTTTCCATTTTCATATACGCCGAGGTTTCCTTGCGTGTGTATTAACAAAAGCTAAATAGGTATAATTTGTTTGTGAATGATTCCTTTTGCTGATTTTACTTTTTTGGACGACGCAGTAACATCTAACATAGGTCTCCTTCTTGCTCGTAGGTTCCGAGATTTGCATGGCAATTCGGACAACGGTGTTTAACGTCATAGTTGTCTGCCATACACCAGAGTACCAGACAGCACAAGCCAACAAATAAGAAACAGATTGAGCCGATGCGACAAAGATAACTTCCTGGCTCCAAGGACGTTTCCGTTACTACATCGTGATTGCACTGCCCACATATCAATCGCATCGGTTTGTTTGAAAACTTAATAAATTGTGGGTTTGGTGAGTTGGCAAGAACTATAGGTTGAAATGTAATTGGCCTTTGTGGAAATTGTTGCGCATGATTGATGTTTCCACTAACCGTTGCAATCCTGCTTTCTGTGCCATAAAACGACTGATTATATCCACAACCTTCCTCTAAATTTACAACGACTCCATTATTATCATATGGGGCTGATTCGTATCGATGTAAAACTTCTTTTTGCATTACAACTGATTTACTAGCACAAGCATCATTGGTATTTGAAATTGAAATTGAAAAAACACAGCTCCCAGTCGTTTCTCCGATCTCACCCTTTGATGCTGAACCAGATTGCCCTTCAATATCTGCAGATGTAAAGGAATTTCCAATAGCATCTGTATCTTTCGACACATTTTCGTGGGCAATACATTTATTTCCGGTTCCATCAATACTTTTGACTTCCGCAGACGTCAGTTCGTCTTCTTCGAGCGGAAAATGTTTAGGCATTTTTAATTTAACTGCAAAAAAGCATGTTAACTTATATCAAACATGAGAATTATGTTATCTTTAATATATCCCGCAATTCAAAATAGAACCTATTTTGCTTGTATATACAAACACACTTGTAGATATTTTTATCATGATAAATACTTGTTTGCATGGTTGCGAATATGCTTGCCGTTTGCTAATGCATTTTTACATAACAAATAATTTCAGTCCGGTTGAAACACGAATTACAACGGGTTATAATATATCATATCAAACTTGAAAACCTTTAATAAACTAAAACTCAAAAACGCGTGTATATATGGTATAAATATATAACTGCAGTCTGTAGAAACTTTCTCATGATTACGTTTCTCAAAATACGGCATTTTCCGCAATTTTAAGATCTATCTTTTCGTCCAAAATGAACTTGTGTATTACCTTATATCAAATGAAAAAATTTCCCTGTGTCGAGAACTTATTTTTCTCGCCTCGGGATATTTTTCGTATAACGTGAAATACCATCATGTTTCATGCGCCGCCTTATCTTGATTTTGTTATATTGTAAACTTAGCAGAATGTTAAAATGGTGGAAACAGATATTATGACTAGCATTTCAATATATTTTCGACTTCTCGATTTATATTTTTGTTGTAATAAAGTACAGTACTGATATATCACCACAATGTGTTTTTTTTTTTGAGAAAATATTTACAATAGCGTGAATAAAAAGTTTGACTTCACGTTTCAAAAATCATCAAAATTGTGAAAAATACACGTCTCTCGTCCTATGTTCAACAAATAAAGCAGTCTATATGATTCAGAATGGAAAAGCTAATAAATCCAATATCTCATGTTTTATTTAAAAAATATTTTACTGAATTTGGTATATAAACCAACTAATAAAAGGGTTTAGTCAGAAAATTACAAGCATTCGTGGCTCCAAATACTTGAGAAATCAGACTATACAATATAGACCGGTATGAGTGAAATGTTAGGTGAACTTGTTAACACTTTGATTCAATACGCAAATAAAAGTGAATGCGTAATAGTATGTTACAATGAGCAGCAATCAACAATGAGTATATATCCTCACTGATTAAAAAAATCTAACTGGAGGTGCATGAACTATTTGAAACCATAAGGGGTAAGTAAATATGTAATTTCGGCAAATGGGCAACTACGTACCGTACTGAATTAATAACTTCGTAGTATTTGACAAAGGCTGGCTTTCCCACGTGTACTTAACAGTGCGATGCCCGGGTGTGATATACAACAATAGTATTCACCTTACCTTTTACCGATTTCTTTTTACCCCAACTTTCAAAAATATCATTAAAATCGACAACAACTGTCAAAGCAGGCACGAACACCATTCGTGCTACGCCTTGAAAGCAGCACACATCCGCTCGTTTTCGTCTCGTCAAGTATGTGCATTGGAGCGTGCTATCGAATACGATCTTCGGACAAAAATGCCGGAGTTGCGCATCATGTTGTTTAATGTCATTGGTTCAACTAAAGTTACCCAAGATATATAAATCTAACGTTTGGTACATGTTGCAATGATTAAGAGATGGTTCATTTGGAGTTAAGTTGTTTTTAACCTTCTGATCTCGGGTGTCCCTGAGTCATTTTGACACCCCTCTATAATTTTTTTAATATTTCACCAACCAAGAATGCCAAAAACATTATTATTGTGTCCTTAAAAAGCTTATTTTCGTCGCTTTCCACTAAAATGCGCCCAAATTACGTAGCGCAAATGTGTACGCCGTACGACGGTAAGAAGAGAGAAATTTCAAAAAATTTCGAGAAAAAGTTTCTCACTTTTAACGCTGTGGTCGACACGTGATTGATATGCGAGAGAAAGAGTTCTCTTTTAGAAGAGCTATACGTCACCTTCGAGATAAAACAAGACTGGGATTTGTAAGTGAAGTGATATTCGTTTTATCGAAGAGCATTTGATCGCGTGCTGTCTGGTATCTTTGTTTGTTTATTATGAGCCGAAGAACGTTGCTCGCGCGTTCAAAATACTTCGTTTTCAACTAACAACAGATTATTTGGTTATTTTTAAGCTTTGAAATACTCATACAAATAAAATTGACCTTGTTGCAAAATAAAAATTATACATAAAAAAAATATGATGACATCACCGTAATTAAGAACACTCGGATCAAGCATGGATAGTTTAAACTCAAACATTTTGAGATTTGAAATTGGTTTTGTTCACATGCAGACCACTATGAAATACTATTGACCCCCCAAAATACATTTAATTTAGCCATAAACCCAAATTATGACACAGATCAGCCATTTATGACCAGGCCGAAACCCTAGCAGTCTAGTAAATAGATTTTGTTGGTTCTGTAAATACATTGGGTTTATCTCATTCTCCACGATAAATATTCTAATTATGATAAGAATTAAGGGAGAAACAGTCATTACTTATCGATCTTAAGATCGGTAAGTATGTTGATAGGTATTTATCTGTCTGTATGTCTGTTAGTTTGTCGGTTAGATGAACGCGATATCTCAAGAAGGCGAGGTTGAATCTGCTCCAAATTTTGCATGTGCATTCATCATATCTCGAACCAGAAGCTTATTGGGGATGAATTATGTCGTATAATTAGCGAGTTATTAATTATTTAGTGATTGGGCACGCGGTTTCACTATAGAGTCATAAATCGAAACCGCATTCCATTCAGTTCAGTTGTTCATATATGAGTCTTTGTTTTCTGAACAGATAATACACTAAAATCGTGCCTTATTACTGGAGTGTATTTTGGCTTGTTCGTTTAGAAATAATCATAATGGTACAAACCTAGCGGCACTTTGGCACTTTAATTGTAATGAGACGCTCAATGTATACTGTTGCGTTGCAATGATAACATGCAGAAAAAAACTTACAATTGTGCATTTCTGCTTCCAATAATCCGTCGTTGAAAATGTACTTCTAATAAAAACTATGTACAACACGCATCTGACGCATGTGATACTATTTTAAGCGCGTTAAAGATCTTGCGGCTGGTAACTTCAGTAACCAAATCAATGTCATAGATTTGAACCATAACTGGGTAAAGAACTTCAAAATTGGCGTTAGTTAAATTTCCTATATTAGGCATTAGCATTATACTAAGCATTTTTAAGACTTGCGATTTGTAATCTTTGATATATTTTTGAATAAAGATTAGACATGTAAACTATCCTATTCAAGATGAATATAATTTTAAATCGCTATACGAAAAATGTTGGAAAAAATTCATATATATATATATGATGTATATTCAAAATAAATTGAAATGCTCGTCACAAAAAAACTCAACTTGTAAAAGTAAAATGAGTTAGAAATGTTATAAACATGTGAAAATTTGGGTGGCTCCGTTATACTGAATTTTGCATATTATCATCAGTCATAACTTTGTACAACAAATAATTCATGCAAATGATTCTTTTTATCCGTCAAAACTTCAACACCAATCTTCTTCTCTCTTTGGCGTTCTTAGAATGTAAGTTCCTAGCTTTTGTTTGCAATGTGGACAGCGATGATTAATATCGTAATTTTTCTTGAGAGCCCAAGCTATAAGACAAAACAGTCCCAAAAAGCAACAAAAAAAGCAAAGAGTGCCCAAGATGCGAATTCCTTCCCCAGTCTCCATTGATGTTTCGCTTACGACATGGTGCCTGCAATATGGACAGATCAGTCGTATCGGCTTTCTTTTCAATTTAAGAGGTCTAGGATTTGACGAATTGGACTGAGGAGAGATTGTAGACATTTGTAAAATATAAGGATAAATTCCATCCTTTTTGCTCTTTGTATTTTGGGCCAGTGATAATTTTTCCGATTGTATTGTCCAGTCTCCACAAGAATTTAACTGAAAACCTTCACTATATGCAAGTAACAATTGGCTAGAATTGCATACGGGCTGTTCGAAGTTTCTTTTGTAATAATGCTCAGGAAGTAATTGAACATTGATAACCTTCTCTGAAGTCATGGTATTGTGTCGATTTCAATGCCAATGTCTATTGTCTCAACCCATCTACAACGAGCAAACTTTCTTAAATATCTCTAACTATTGTTATTTTTTCATCGTATTAACTTGATATAATCGAATCAGAGCTCTATAATTGAGGTATATTATGTAACTTTTCTCAATGAAAGTTCGTGAGCACCTGAATGAAATTTCTGAAAAAATTTGTAAAAGAACTGTTAGGCTACAAGAAACAACTGACGCACTGAGAGCTCTAAATAGGTTTATCTTTGTAATAGAAATGCAAATTATCGTAAATATCGGTTGGCAGGAGTGAAATGTTCGCGCCAGCAAATACTGAATACCTTTGGACAGCTATAAGCGAAGGGCAATTTCACAATACAACTTAAAATGTCTCATTATAAATAGTTTGTTGACGAGCCGTAACGGATAAAAATCAGTCGCTAATCTTTTAAATTGAATATGCCAAAGCTTTCTGCTTCGTAGAACGTTTTACTGGTAATAGGGTCTTGAGTACTTAATATTACGCTTCAGGGGATGTCTACTGGAGTATCTATCGCTACAATAACTATACATAGCAGGTCAACGATTCCAGCTCGACGTCAGAAATAGCCCATTTTGGGCCAGTAAGCTTCGTTTAGACTTAGAGCTATCCTAAATAAAAATCAACATATACTAGCAGATTAACAACGGGTTATTCGATTTTAGTCATATGGTTTGAGCTATATTATACATTATACCGTATATACCTTGACTTTTTACGACAGAAATCTAATAAACATTGAATTCTAGTTGGCAAATTTTATATATCCGATGTAGAGACTGCACTGAAACTATCTTCTTCAGTTAGTTGCGCGAATTAAAATAACCATCGATATCTCTGGCGGTGTAGGCTATAGGACTTATAGAAGCGACTTTCATGGTATCAGACATTACATACGAGTTTTTGATTAGTAATCACATGATGGCATTTTTAGTCACAGCACACAGTTACGAAGTCATATCACAATCACTAATCTACCACAGTGATCTAACTGGAGTTGACTTATTTCCAAAAGCATTTTTAGGAGTTGCGATTCGTAATCTTTGAAAGATTTTAGAAGAATAATGATTAAAACTGCATGGTAGACCATGTAAACTATCAGATTCGAGGTAAACATAATTTTAAATCGCTAAAGAAACAAATATTATGAAAAAAAATCATGAAGACATAAATTCAAAATAAATTTAGATACAAAAAATTCAACTCGCAGAGCCAAAAGAAAAATGACTTAGAAATGTTATAAACTTGTGCAAGTTTCGTGGTACTGTTATACTGAATTTAGTATATTATCATCAG